CCTCGAAACCCTTCAATTCTGCCAGGCTGCCATCATGATTGAAAACTGCATAACGCTTTTTCAAGTTCTTATCCTCCTCTTTGGAAGTTGGCAAGATCATGGCCTTGTACGGTCCATCAACTTCAAAAAAGATGGAGTTATCGCTGTGCTTCTCGTAGCGGAACGTCTCGGGGTCTACTAACGTTTCATACTGGTGATTGGTATACTGTGCGTGAACCAAGTGGTTCAACATTGTACAAGGGTATGAGATGGTCAGCTTCTTACCATTGCTGAGTTTGAAGGCAAAGTTCTCAGGAAATGTTGCTGGTAGAATAGCCCAAATACCGTCAGTGTCCAGTTCCAAGGGTCGTCCAATGCGCTCCACAAGCGAGCGGGCCAACTGAATGATGCGAGCACCAGTCAAGCAAGTGACTCCAGCCATCTCAAGAGAGTACCAACGAGATCCCTTTCGCATGACGTAACCGTAGAAGGAATTAAGAATGACTTTGTGGGCCAGCTGCATAGAGTCGAAAAGAACAATCATCTTCTTTGCATCCTCAATCTCAGTAGCAGGAGCACCGGCGGCTTTGAGTGCTTCCGTCTTTCCCTTCCAGACCTTTTGCTTGCCCTTGAAGTCGTAACGTCGATCACGAAAACCGCTGACGGTATCAACATAAAAAGGATTCTCTCGCTGGCAGATGATAGCCTCGCGCTCGATCGTCGTGGCGTCATGGACTTTGTGGTAGATCTTCTTGGAGTAGTCTGTTAGACGTTTCCTAACAAGGGCAGCCTGTTCTTCTTCCGAAAGATCTTGGAACGTTCGCTTTGGCGAGTTGGGAAACCTTCCAGGAAATTGCTCGTTCTCTAGAGCGTTACGAACCATGTTGTACTCGTCACGCTTGGCTGGTAGGTATTCACCTCGCCAGGCCCATGGCATTCGGCGATCGCACGTCTTTCCTGGTCGGTTGAAGTCGCAAGCCGCGCAATTCGACTCGTTAATCATGGAATCAGGTTGCAGACGGTTAGTTGTCATGATGTTAGGATACATAGACGCGACGTCCAAATGATAGATGAGAGGCCGTTCGCTGCGGTTTGGCGTGTTCTTGAGCTGCATGAGCTTCTCAACAATCTCAGCTTTGATCTCTTCGTAATTTGTTACGTCCTCCATCTTCTTCTTTTCTTCAACCTCGATGCTGAACTTGAGTGCGGCGTCAAGATCGTTGAGCAATTCGTCAATGGCCGTAGGGTCGACGGCGAAATTGTAGGCAATGTCGCTTCGGAACACGCCAGCTTCCAGCGCTTCGACGTGACCTCCAACATAGGTCTCTGACTCGAGAAGATGACCCTCCCAGAAAGCTTCCTTGGGTGGATTGTGTTTATTCGGTAGCACGATGCCCTTCTGGTATGCCTGCACCATCAAGAGCATCTCGCAGAGGGTACCTGTACCCTTGCGCAATGCATCGTCCGGTCCGAGTGGAAGAATCTTGCACAGAGCGAAAATGAACGGATGTACGTACTTCATGTACAAGTAGTAAGTAGCAACAGCGTCGGAGACGGAGTACTCTGCAAGCGTTTGCGGTCGCTCGGCTGCGTAGGGCGTCATGAGTTCCGGGTCGAGCTCGTCTGGGTCGTATCCAAGCTTAGCCATTGTCACGGCTTTTAGACCACGACTACCTTGAGGTAGGTAACTGTCTCGACTAACCCAGGCAAAGGCATCCATATGGGCACAATAGTCCGACTGATAGATATCTTCGCTGTTCTTTCTGAATCCGATTTCTTGGTACATGTCGATACCCTGTACACTAGATCTTGCTTCGACAAACGGCCAATCGAAGAAGTCTCCGTTATATGTGACCATGACTGTTGGTCTAGCTATCTTGATATGTTCGAAGAACCGTTCCAACACCGCCTTCTCGTCCGGCTCGTTGAAAATCATAAACGGTCCTTGGTATTCTGGCTTCGGTGTGTACTCGAAGTCTGCAATGTCTTCCGATACGATCTCGCGGTTTGTGATGAGAAATCCTTGACCGTCGATCATGTACGATATCATCATGATCTGATCGATGGCAGCGTCTGGAAACTTCAATGGGAGCTTTGTGGTTTCGATATCGTACGCCATGACGACGGGGTCTGCTGGTGTGAGGCGGTCCTCTATGCACTTGATGCTTATTATGCCATGCTTGGCCTCGACAGTATACCAGTTTCCAATCCGGACGTCCTTGTCAATAGCCACTCGCACGTGGTAAGGAACGTCGTATTCTCGGATATCTAAAATAAAATCGCTGGCGTCAACAGTAGTCATAAATCGTTTCTCGTATTCGTGCTCGTCGTTATCAAAGAAGTCAAAGTCGCCATTGCCACTATGCAAATGTTAGCCGAAGTTCATGCGTAAGAAACCAGCCAAACTCACTTTGCAACTTCTGCATATGTGTCCATCGCGTTGACGTTCTTCTTGTTCTTCTCTACGATTGGATTGACAGCCTTTCGTACAGCCAACAAGTCGTTGACATTTGCGAAGGTAAGTTGCAAGAACTTTCTCCGGTATCCTGTCAGGTGATTTGGCATACTCAGGTCCTCCTTTTCCACGATCTTTATGGATTTGATCAATCCCTCATATGCCTTTTTGCAGAACTCTTCCACATCTTGTTCTCTGCCCTTCTTGATCGCCAATAGAAAGTAGGGGTCGTATTCGAGCGTCGCTTTGAATGTGTCGCCTTCTTCGCCGATGAAGTAAAAGTCCACACCGGCTTTGCCACCTGGTACTTCTTCGTCTTCTACCGTTGTCGAGTGCATGTTGACGAGCCATCCGATCTTCTTCTTGCCAGCATCGAAGCGCGCGAAGCCCATGGTTTCATCGATGCGATTTGCCAAGCGAGTGGATTCGAGTTTCTCGTTCTGTGAGGTGCCCTCGCCACTGCGTAGTGACGAGGCGTCGACCGTCTTCGGTTTCCGTGGGCCATAGGATGTGTTACCCAGCTTGCCTACCCGGCGGAAGGGCTGGCCTGCGCGTCGTGGCGCCATGATGTGCGGTAGTGGTGGAAGGTGAGAGGGTATTAAATGCTAAATATGTAGATCAGGGTATCATTGGAGCAGCGAAGAGAGCGGAAAGAGCGAAAAGATGGGGTATCGACAATTGGCGGTGGGAGTGTAGTGGAGGGACTCGCAGGTCTGAAGGGTGGATCGGCAAATGTTGGACGCGACGCGCTGGAGCGTGTTCGGCGCTTTCCCCTTCCCAGCAAATTGATTTTGGTGTGGCTGTGCGGTGGCCCTCAGCCACACCTTGATCGATCTCGTCGGATCATACATGCTGGATATTTTCGGGCCTATTCCGCATGGACAGAAAGTCCACGAGCCGCGACTCACGATACAGCACTCACAACGACGACAACCACCAGCGTCCAACTATCTCTTGACGGCCTCGTAGAGATTCGTCGCTCACATATCTCTGCCTCCCCACCCTCTAGTAATCCCCCCCATCACACCACAATGGCCGACGACACGCGGAATACCGTCGATGTGAATGCGCTTCCACCAAAGCCCCGCGCGCCCGCCAACACCATGCCCGGTGGCACAGCACATACAGCAGGAGGCGAAAAGACTTCAGACGGCGGTCCTACATACATCGACGCAGTGCGAAGTCTCGGACCAGAATACTACTTAAACTTCCACAAGCGACCATGTGTGAGAGACAGTCAATTGCAAGGACTCGCAGCAGGGTTTGCAGGAGGAAGCTTAGCTGCTATAATAGGCAGTACGTCGCCATTGCTTTCTACACAAGACCTGCGGACAATGTACTAAAACCTACCACAGAGCCAGTCATCACAGCCTCCAACTGGGCCGTAGCAACCTGGTGCGGTGTCTCTGTCGTTTCCTACCAAGTCTGCCAGTACTACCGATCGAAAGAAAAGGCCGGCATAAAACAAGCACAAGAGCTCATGGAGAAGAAGCGCGCAACTATCGAGGCGAAGAAAGAGGCACGACGGAGAGCGAGGGAGGAACAGGATCGACTAGAGGCAGAACGAAGGGCAGAAGAGGAGAGGAGAAAGAGCTGGAGCTATTGGTACCAGAAGAACGTCAAGTTCTGGTAGAGTGTAGTAAGCATGAGGGCTTGAGACTTATGATGCCATGTACAGTTGTGTATAAGAATATGTACTATATGCGCCTTGTTGCGACATGAATTACGTGGTATGGGTCACTTGACTATCTTCTCGCACTATTCGACTCTGATGAGCTGTCCACAATCATACCCCCAGGAGGACCTCCTGATCATGGTATACGATCACGAGCACTGCTACTACAAAGCTCACATTCCTCGACAAGTCATCCTGATCAATCTGGGTAAATACCAGCTGCACCAGCGGAGCCTGAGTCTATCTACAGAAGAGAAGCGGGTTCAGGATCTAGGCCCAGAGTGTCATCAGTACAGTGATAAACTGAACGATTGGATGATGCAATATCTGAGCTGCACAGCAAACCAGAGACCTACGACAGAACGAGTCTCAAGGCCACAGAACTGCTCACAAAGGTTGGTGAAAATCCATCTTTGGTCGATATGGACGCAAAATTTGGTATCGACGTTTACACCCAAAGCATTTCTCGTTTTACTCTTGTTCGGTTCAACAAACGTCCTTCTCTTCAAAGGCCATGTCTCGCCATATCCTCACGATCACCAACTTTTCCCAGCCCGCCTTTTTCCCGCTTGATCCTACCGTCTCCGCCATCCAACCTGAGCCCCAATCTCTTATGCGCTGTTTGACCACTTCCGGTTTGTTTTGTGCGCACAAAAGCACGTATGCGACGCCTCGACCCGTACTTAGTGTCTCTGGTACCTGCTCCAGCATCCTATTCGTCACTACCATACCATCTTCTCCTCCTGCATACGACAGTTCCAACAGATATGAGTCTTGTTCAAAGGATGTCGCTTTCTTTCCTTCTGGTATGACGTTGTACTCGTTGTGGTTCGCTAGATCAGGCAACTCGGCCGGTACATATGGCGGGTTGAATATGAAGACATCCACAGAATGCGGCCGGATAGCACTCGCCAAGTCGCCATTCACGACATCGGCAAAGACGGAGCGCCCATCCTGTTGTTCCTTGATCGCATCGCGAACCGTTTGGGAGGCAGCTTTGCAGGCGAAGCTGTTGATATCAACCCCAAGTGTCAGTACGTCGTGACGGTTGAATATTGTGCGCGCATTTGCAGCGACGAACGCCAACACAACGCCTGATCCTACGCCCACTTCGAGCACCAATGGTGGGATTGTGGAGACATCTCCAAATCGTCCCTTTAAGTATGCAGTTTCCGACGCAGAAGAGAGCGTATCGAGTAGCAGGTATGAGTCTTCGGCCGGTTCGTACACGCGATCAAAACATACATGAGATGTGGATGGTGTTGGCAGCATGGTCGCGATTTTGTTTCGAGATCGGAGGTGTCGGTGTGGGCCAATTGGAATGGAAGGAGCACCCTAGTCTAGAGTAGAGCCGAGGCTGAGGTCATCACTTCTCGAATGCATCACAGCTGCTCTGCCACAATCTTTTGAATCTTCATCCATTCTTTTGCAACAATGAGAGCCTGCGCACGGTTACTGGCTACCGCGACAGATGCGGGCGCATCGAGGCCCTTCAAGCCGGCACCTGCTGCCTTGTTGCCACCAATACCACTTTATCGACGTCTGCTACGCTCGCATAGGAAAAGGCTAGGCGTCGAGGAGCGATTACTTGGGGACATGTACGTCAAGGCCGAGTTCAGGGCACACAGGGATGTCGAGAACCCTGTGCAAATAGTAAGTCATGCACATTTTTGGACAGTCGCTTTGCAATGTCACAGATTCTAAGTTCCGTAGATTGGGTTTCTGTCGGAATGGCAAACATACTGCCAAATGCTAGAGGGAGACTCGTGGAAGGAAGCCAAGATGGACAAGGCTAAGATTGACAAGATGAGCGGTAAGCTTTATCTACTGGCGCAAAGACATCCACTAATTTGGATCACAGACCAACAAATTGGTCAACTCTACGAGCTCATGCAACAGATCAAGAACCAAGCTCAGGAAGATGCTGATGCCGAAGAAAAGCGCGTGACGGAATTGCTCGACAAGAAGCCGTCGACCGAACAGTGATCGCAACATGTGTGAATCTCAGTTTTCATTCAACAATGTTCAATGGCAAACGTGGCTGGCTTCACGCCTACCGATGAATGCGTAAACACGAAGAGCTTGGATACTTCACATGGTACTCCAGGATGTACTATATATCAGCAATACCAGATCAGTCTCCAACATCTTCTCACGTCCAGCTCTTCCGTCGCTCCATAATCGTTGTCCATCTAAGAACCCTCGCTTCACAACCTGAAGCCTCTCAGGCGCATCCCAAGTTTCTCCAATCAGTCCCGATCTTGGACGGGTACAGAGCTCTTCAAGGAGAAAAACGCTATCAATACTGGAATTCCGTCTTGCGATTATTCGAGAGTTATATCTCGTGCAAAGTCTTTGCTTATTGGACATGTGTGGTTGTACCCTATACGATTCTCCAACATGTGGTCACTCCTGGATTTCCATGAGTCAACCTTGCGGCTTTCTCTTCGATCTCCTCAGCTGTCCATATCGCCAAACCTATCAGACTTTGATCGCACCGCCCTACACCTGTCCCATGTGCAACGGCGGATTTGCAGATCGAGAGACCATTGAAATGGTGCAAGGACCTTGGGGTACTAACCAGATGCTTCGAAATCATGTTGGTGGCAGCTATGCGATTCCGGGTCAGTGGGGAAGTGCGCCATTCATGTCTGGGGGATGGGGAGGTCCAGCAATTACTTCAGGAACTACATCTGGCGCTATGATGCCTATACACCATACGAATCAAGGCTTCACTTACGATCACCGCCTTACTGGCCCTTACATGCCTCAAAGCATGATGTCGCATGCTCCGGTCATCACGAGTGGACCGATGATGGGTAGTTCGGCAACGGTTATGAACGAACCGATAATATATGATAATGGATTTGGCGGATACGACGATGGCTACATCAGCGATTATGGTGGATACTATGACGCTAGACGCAAGAAGAGGAGGCACAAGAGTCATTACAAGTACAAGTTTACGGATAAACCCGTAACCAACTGCACAGTTATGTGAGCTGCTAGTGTGCTGGAGCCTGCGAGATTAGCTGTGGATTTCTGCCTCCACCAAATATAGTAGCTGACTCGTTGTTTAATCAGAAGCATAAGTCAGGATGAGAGTGCCCTTGGAAAAGTCCGCCTAAGAGGTAGTCGAGGATGCCAGAGTGAAGCAACCACTGTCCTGGTAGCGAATCACCGGCACGCTTAGCTCTAGGGCAAGACCCTGCATCCAGACCAGAATGCCTTAGCCAACGGCTGGAGCACCCAAGAGCGTCCAAGAATGAGGCGACAAGACGATCCCAATTAGATAACGACTGTGAACTGCATCTCCCGATCGCGTGAAAAAGTCGGCTTGATCACAAGAAAACGTAAACAACTTCCCGTGCTCTTGCTTTGTTCGAAGCGCTACTTCGGCTACGTCATTCGTCACGGGGGCCGAGCTCCTTGTAATCAGACTTCCTAAAACATTAAACTACTTCTCCTGAACTATAAACCCCTCCACGAACCGCACCAAGATCCAATTCAGACCACACACTTCGCAATGGCAACCAATGCGCCTACCTTGATCAACCTGCCACCTCCGCCGTCCGGCGAAGACACGCCTGGTGATGCTCCGTAAGGCACATGCGCTTGGTGGGGCTGGATCAGATAGTTAGACTGACGCTGTACATGTAGAGGCACCCCAAACTCGGTCACAACGACCATGTCTGAGCTCTCCACTGTTGCCATCAAAGACGGACATCGTGGTCACTTTCCCCACCACCGGAATCCTGCTGAAGCTGAACGTGCTGACCGCATCTCGCGCCTAGCGGGTCTGGAGCGCGTTGCAGTCTCGGGTCGCAATCCTCAAGGACTCAACCCAGGGAGCGCAGCCAACCCTCCTCCAGGTTACTTTGATGCAAACAACCAGCCGCAACTCTTCCGTGAGCGCAGCACTGTTGGTAGTGCCAGCGCGACTGGCTCCGTTGGCGGTCGCACAACGTGGGCAAGCGGCAGCGATGTCTACGAGCCCGATCGCATGAGTGAGGACCAGGACATGGACACATCAAGCATGGGGGGCTTCAGTGACGAAGCTGCTTCCCTTGTTGGTTTTGGCGAGGGTGCGCGAACACCAGCTCGACAGCATAGCCAACTCGGTAGCCCTGCTGTCGGAAAGGCAAGCGCTCTGCCAGGTTACTTGCGAGAACAAACCCCGACTAGTCCCATGTCAGGCGTCAGTGTACCTGTCAGCTCAGGATCGACACAGACCATGTCCAGCATCGAACAGCAGAAGAAAGAGGCACGCATGATGAATGGCATGACGTACGATGACAACGTCGTCGACACGACTAGCCATGCGCCTCCTGCCAGTGGCCGCGACGGAGACTCAACTTCAGGAGACGCCATTCGCGAGCACATGGCACAGCGTCAGGCTGACCAGGATGCTGGTATGAACTATGAGCAGCAGAAGGACGTTTAGGGAAATGCTTTTTGTTTCACTCGAGTCATGCTTTGAGGCGGGCGTTGGGCAAAACTGTTAGGTTCGTGCATGTCTGTCTGTCTGCTCTTGACAGTTTGTCACGAAATTAGTATGGGCAGAAATTGAGTAGCCTGAGAGCTGCGTCGACATGAGATTAGTTACGAACGCAATGCTGTATGATTATTATCCTTGCTTGGAGTCATGTACCTTAAGCGATTGGCGTGTTCCCCCAGCTTCCGTGTCCATGCGCTTCAGTATGACGTTGAGCGCGCCATTGAATGGCTTGGAGCGACCCTCCGCCGCCAACGCTCACGGTAGTGCTTTTGTAACCCCGCAAGGCTGTGTCTGCCCTTGCGCCATCATGGCCGATACTGTTGATGGTCATGGCATGCGGCGAATCACACCCCGCATTCTGCAGCTTGCGGCCCAAGTGCTCTGGGCAGGTAGAAGGCCATCTTCTGGGCTTTGCACCTGCAGGCACGCCCTCCCCACCTCATTCCACTTCACATGTCGCGAACAGTCCTGCCCAACTGATAGCTGGCTACTGCGCGAGGTCTTGTCACGTCTCCAAGTGCAACACTCAGAACACATAGTTATTTATCGCGTGCACGTTTATACTCGTCCACGAATTCCCGTAAACACTTCTTGCGGAGCCCCGCATTCCCCCAAACATAGCCGTCGTCGCCATGGCAGACCACAGCAACGAAGAAGCTATCGAAATAAAGGAGACGTCGCTCAACAGCTCCGTGTCTTCGATAGGCCGCACGCCTCCGACAGCGCTCAAACTGGGCTCCAGTCCCAGTCCGGCCTCTTCACACCGCTCGAGCTTCGCGGAACACATGCGAGGAACGCCTACATCACCGCGCGCGTCACGGCAACCTTCGCTCACACAACAAGCTCTGCAAGACCTCTTGAACAACCCACCAACCAAGGGCGGTGACCCAAAGTTCCAGGGACGCGATTGGAAGTCAGTCAGGCTTGGAGAGATAGTCGACCCTGACCTAGTCAGATTTGTGGAATACGACACCAGTGTTGAGGATGCGACAAGCGTGAGTCGGATTCAGTTGTCTCTGTGCACCTGAAACTGACTTGCATAGATACTGGTCAAACACGGCGCTCCTAATGTCGTCCTTCTGCGCGAAGACGCAAACACACGACATGCGACCGGCACTTTCGATTACAGCGACCTAAACGCCTATCTCCTCCTTGTTGTCGGCCTCGCACACCCCGAAGAAGGCGACATCGCGTCGTTTGACGAGCTTGCAAAGAAGGGAAGAGAAGGAAAGCCTATACCACTCAAGGACGTGAAGGAGGTCGGCGGTAGGAAAGAGCCCTTGATTACTCTCGATGAGACAACAGATTTGTCCAAGGCTATAGAAGTCTTTGGAAGCGGCGTGCATAGGGTCTTGGTCGCAGAACAAGGCACCTCAAATGTCAAGGGCATTCTGACGCAGTTGAGATTGGTGCAGTTCTTCTGGGAAAATCGATCAAGCTTCCCAGGTGTCAACCAGCTATACTCGCAGCTGATCAAAGACTTGAACCTTGGATCCAAGACAGTCCTGGCCATCAAGTCAGTATGACACAATTTGAAAATGGCATATGACTGACCGGATACTTAGTGGAGATAAGCCCCTTGCGGCGGCTCTCGAGCTCATGAATAACGAAGGCGTATCGTCTTTACCAGTCCTGGACGCGCAGAATAACGTTATCGGCAACATTTCACACGTGGATGTCCGCGTAGGTTTCTTCTGCCCCTCATGAGTACTGAGTGGCTGACAACTCCATTCCTAGCTCTTGACAAAATCCACCTCCCTACCGCTACTTCGCTCATCCTGTATCCACTTCATATCCGTCATCCTGTCAGAGAGAGGAGTCAACGATGGCAAGGATTCCTTCCCCGTCTTCCATGTCAACCCATTCAGCACCCTCGCGCATACTGTGGCCAAGCTGGTCGCAACTCGCTCACACCGCATGTGGGTCGTCGATGCACCGTCGCCTGCATCATCAGGACCATCAACTCCTGCAATAACACCTGCGATCGTTGTTCCTCCCTCGCCAATCACACCACTTCCCGGAATGGCAGGTCCTATACCTGTCAATTCGACCGCCCCGACGCACCTTGCCAGCACTGGAGCTGTTGCACCAGCTATCTCTGCATCCGCAATGTCAACCATGCCAGGGGCTAGCCTCTCTGGTAGACTGAGCGGAGTCATTAGTCTCACAGATATCCTCAATCTATTCGCAAGAGCAAGTGGGCTCAATCCCCATGATCCTGATGAAGCACGACGCGCTAGGCGCAGGTCGAGCTCCAGTAGCATGAGGCAGAGCATGGACAGCTCAAGGAGTGAAAGTGTGTCGGCAATCGCAGGACGAAGGAGCAGCGTAAGCAAGCGAGAAGAAAACGCACCCACGGCTCAGGGATTAGGTATTTCCAGGGGACGAGGCTCATAGTCTTGGTTGGACAGAGTCTTGGTCTCTTGAGGGTATCCCATTGAGTTGCAGTATTGATAGGCGTTATCAGCGAGTTGTCGTTTCCAGTCGCTATAGAATAGGCATGCCAGCTCCTGTACCGCATGCATGTTAATCGGTATCATGATGAGCTTACAATAGTCTTTTATTTGCCAATGCGAAAATGCGAAAAACTACGATATTTGAGTAAATAGAGCTGGATTAAATTGTCAGTTAGCAAATTCCCTGTCACATCATCCTACTTTTCTGAACAACAGACCATCATGTATTGAGGATGGAGGTAGCGGCCATTTTGGTTTCTCTACTTTGTCCTCGGTCGGTCCAGCTGGGGTGGAAGCGTCTGCAGCATTCGTCTTCGGTCCATCTTGAGCGTGTGCAGACGCTGTTGTTCTGCTGTCGTGCTTCTTCAAAATGTTTTCTGTCTGTTCATCCTGACGCTGCTCGTATCTTTTCCCAGAAGAGTTGACAACCGAAACATTTGTTACACATATGGGAGACTTGAAATGACCTCTGGAGCGAGTCGATTTTTCACATCGTCTTTTCGTACGTTTAGGAAGAGGTTGAAGTACCATGGTTCGTTATGCTAACTACTTTAGAAGATTTCAGGTTTAATAAGCATTCTTTGTAGGCATGCGAAAATACGTGCTTGGACAGAGGGTTAATGTTAAATTTTGAGGGGAATTAATACATTAGAGAGATGCTGCCATGGAATTGGCGTGTTGATTGTCAGAGTGGTGAAGGCCATAATGTTTGTACTCTCATGGTGCTGTGACTTGTGCAAGAGGTGCTGGCAGGTACGTTGTTCAGGACATGGAAGTTTTGAGAAGGGTTGGACATGGATCTTTGATGAGATACTGTAGTTGTATAGTATGTATCTTGACATTTTCCCGCATTATCCAAGCGGGACTTCATTCACGTCATCGTGGACACGCAAAGTGTGATTGTTCTGTGACTTTGAGTGGGATTGTGACCTCGGGTTAAGATGTCGCCGTTTGGGGTGTTAGCTGTTTTACAAAGAACATTGGCTCAAAGTAGCGAGGCAAGTAATGTGGATCATTGGTGTCGGTCTCCATCGGGGAGGCAACATCGGAAGGTACTATCGCCTAACGGGGAAGGTGCCGCCAAGGCTCGCTTCTCTCACAGGTCGACCAATATTGCTCCCCACTCCGGGTTTCTGTTTCTCACGAACTTTCGAACGACAAAATAACGGCAGTCACTCTTTACAACCAGAAGCAATTGACTACCTCAAGCACTAGCCATGCGTGAGTATCATCCTTCTGGTCGGCTCTTAGGAGGATGCGCGGATCTTTCGAGTAGCTAGGACACCCAGATGCGGGTGTTTCCTAACACTCGAAAATTCGACATCTCCAATAGCCAGGCTTTCCTATAACGCCATACGCTTACATCCACAAAGCTCCCAAGTTCGATCCCTCCGAGGTGAAGGTCATTCACCTCCGTGCGACCGGTGGTGAAGTCGGTGCCTCATCCGCCCTCGCCCCCAAGATCGGTCCTCTCGGTCTTTCCCCCAAGAGTATGCGACAAACCCTTCAAGGAAATGCGTCTGGGCACGAATGCTAATCCGTTCTGCAGAGGTCGGTGAAGATATCGCCAAGGCCACTGGTGACTGGAAGGGTCTCCGTGTCACTGTCAAGTTGACCATCCAAAACCGTCAAGCCGCCGTCTCCGTCGTTCCCTCCGCTTCCTCCCTCGTCATCAAGGCCCTTAAGGAGCCTCCCCGAGACCGCAAGAAGGAGAAGAACATCAAGCACACCAAGTCTGTTCCTCTCGATGAGATCATCAGCATTGCCCGCACCATGCGCTTCAAGTCCATGGCCAAGGACCTGAAGGGTACCGTTCTTGAGATTCTCGGAACTGCCTTCTCCACTGGCTGCAAGGTCGATGGCCGCAGCCCCAAGGACATCTCCGATGACATCAAGGCCGGCGAGATTGAGATTCCTGAGGAGTAAGCGTTAGCAATAAGTGCTCAACGATCACGATGGAACGATACATGCCATAGAGGGTGCTACATAGCTGAATGAGGATCATGTCTCCCACCAGAGTTAGCCATCTCGGGACCGGTGGAGTTTGCACAGCTGCGGCGTTTGGGATTTTTGATACCATACCACAAAAGTGACCCAGGCATACGACAATGATACAATGCATTTGTCAAATCAACATTCAATTCTTCGATTTGCTGTGACTCGATCTCTGTGGATAACGTCAGCATGTTTACTGCACATACCATTTCTCAATTAGCTCTGCTGTAATGCTACTCAGTACAGAAGGCTAAGACCACTGTCATTGATTATCCAAGCCAGTTCAAGCGACCAACCAAAGCTTCTGCGATAGGTTGACTAATGCTCGAGCGTGAAGACCAAATAAGCACGGTAAGGTCAATGCAGAATGCGTCGCAAGCTCGGAGTTTTGCACGGTAATTCCGCGACTTCGCGTCACCAGTCGGCGCCTGGCAGCTGAACAACCAAAGCAGTCGCTCCAAAATGTCAACAACACGCAAACTTCGTCCGTACAATGCGCCGAAGACGGTCAGACGAGCTGCCTCAATTCGCGAACGAAGCTGAAATCCCATCATTCCGCCTGCGCCGCCGCCATGTGTACTATCTAGTTGGCTTCCTCTTCGTCTGCTGGATTCTGTATCCATCGCGCAACGCGACACCTGCACCTGGAACTGGCGATACCATAAAAGTCAATTGGTCAAATTATGCATACAGTGTGTATGCGACCGATCGCGGGGAACTCTGTCATGCAGTCATGGTCCTGGAAGCGCTTGCTCGATTCGGCAGCAAAGCAGATCGCGTTCTCTTCTATCCTGACCACTGGGATACCAAAGTAGATAGCTCCCAGGACCGGGACAGTCAACTGCTTAGTTTGGCGCGCGATACATACAACGCGAAGCTTTACCCTGTGAAGCTACTTGAAGTGGCTGGTCGTAGTGAGAGTATGTATTACCCAATCACCTGCCCATGCGGCGAGACAACACAAGCACATAGTTAACAGCATGGTAGATGGGTGGAAATGGGATGAGAGCGTCACTAAGTTCCTAGCTTTCGGTCTCGAGTACTACGACCGCGTCATCGCCCTAGAATCGGAGATCACACTCCTTGACTCCCTAGATGAGCTCTTCCTCCTCCCCCACACTCCGGTAGCAATGCCACGCGCATATTGGACGGATAGCAAACCCTGGCCACTATCGACAACGCTTATGGTCATTGAGCCTAGTCTTGACGAGTTAGAGAAGTTCAAGAAGCGCATGTTGGAAGGTGGTGACCCTATGCTGGTCGAGATGCATAGGTTTGACATGGAGATCATTAACGAACGCTTCGAGGAGAGCGCATTAGTGCTTCCACACCGACCATACGCCCTTCGTACTGCAGAGTTCAGGCGCCACGACCATTCGGACTATCTGGGCGGTGCGAATGAGACATGGGACGCCGAGAAAGTGTACAAAGAAGGAAAGATTGTTCAGTTCAGTGATCGACCGCTGTCTTCTCCCATGGTCATGTGGTCAGAAGAGTCATTGAGGGATATGCAGCCGGATTGTGGAGGCAGCCACGAGGGAACATGCGCTGAGAGACGAATATGGAAGGGCCTGTACGATGATTTCAGGAAGAGGCGGAGAGATGTTTGCAAGCTGCTGAGCTTGCCAGCACCAGATTGGAACAAGATTAAGGAAGAATTCCGCCCAGCGACTGCGATGAAACCAGCTATTGATGCGTCCTTGAATGAGACTGCTGCTGCTCCCTCCGCTTCTGACGGACCTCTACTCGGAAACTAGCTAGCCTTGGATATCAGCAGAACCGTGTGCCTCTATCTTATGTAGCTCTTGAACATCGCTTGTGTATCCTAGCTTGGATGCTTCAACATGCGGCCCGACTATAAAGTCTGCTAAATGACGCTGACGATGATCTGAAACTGATGAGCAAACGGCGAGAACGGCACGGTTATGCAAGGACGGCAGAAGACATGACAACGTCATCTTAGAGGAGACCGTAGCATAGCCGCTGGTGGTGGCTGTCGCATCAGGAAGCAAAGCTGAAGCTTATTTGATTGCTACAAATATACACAGTTTAATTGGTGATACACTCTGATGGCTCGTGACAACAATCTTAGACCGGTGACGGATTTCTGCCATGCAACGACAACGCGAGTCTTCTTGTTTGATGAGACATGTGGACAGCCGAGTACTCGCCATTGCGCACAGCGCATCAACCCGCGCGCTCGCTGCTCGGAAGGATCCATGGCGGCGCCGCCACCACCATTCGCGGATCCACCAAAATCTCCGAAGCATCTGCTCATCAGCTCTTGATTGCACCCCTCAACATTGTCGATATCGCAGCTGTCATACAAGAGCCCCAAATGCGTGTCTACCTCAGAGTGTCAAGAGAAGTATGTCACAACAGAAAGAGCAGGTGAGGTAGCACAAGACATGCATGCTGGGGTGACAGCCGTTTGTTTTAGCGCAGGACCCATCTGCGGCCGGGTGGTGGGGATCATCGCCCACCTTCACTCTAGCCCGTACTTGGGGTAGATCATGAGCCAACCCACTAGGTGCAGGTCGTCAACGCGCAGGGTAACCATGCCTATATTGCAAGATACAGAAAAGGAGCGTTGTATTGCAGCTAGCAACGCGCACTTCGTATAGGGGTCGCATGGATAAGTAAAAGAGGAGGGGTAGGTTACAGCACGACAGCAGCCACAGGAAATGCGGTACGGGTGCGAAGCCGTGGGCGGCACGGACAGGCGAGCGTGGGACGCTGTTGCAGCAGAGAGAGGCTCTCGAGAGCTGGACATGCAGCAAGGCTTAGCAAAAAAGTGGCTGGCTTAACCTAATATCTCACTAAAGGGGCGCTTCCCGGTAGTGCATCATGCGCTTGATGATCTGTGGGCCTGCGAAGTGAATAGCCTAGCTGGGGTGGGAAAGCTGAACTCGTCAGTGCGGAACTCGAGTATGTCTTTCCTCTCTTCCCCACGTTGTGTTGACGCAGTATATGGATTCCTGATTCATTGCTGATTCACTACGCGTGTTTGTGTAGTATTTATATTCGCAAGCATTTGTTCTACAGCATTCCCGTCCTTCCTTACAACCATTGCTTGCTTTCTTGATACGGATTCGACTAGGACAACAACAAATACAGCAATGCGCGATTTCATACTGGCCTCCGTGGTCACGACCTCAGCCTTGTTCGTTGGACAAGCTGATGCTGTCGCCGCCAACCCTCTTCCCAAACCCACGAGCATCACCTGGGGCGACTCTGGCTGCTTCTCTTTTGGATCCGTCGAACTCGATGCGCCCGGCCATGAAGTGCTTTCTGCCGCCTTCGATCGCGTTACCAAGACAATTGCAGAGCTGAAATGGATCCCCGCAGCCACTGAAGCCCCGGTTACATCGTTTCAGCCTTTTCCGACCCCGACCGGTGCGTCGAGAAAGAGCAGGAGGCAGTATCGTGCGTCACCGGGAGGAAATTGCACCGGTACGGTCACCAAGGTCAAGGTTGATGTTGCCGACGCCCATGCTCAGCTCCAACATGGTGTTGACGAATCCTACACTCTCGATCTCGCAGCTGGTTCGGGTACCATAGACATCACCGCGGGAACCGTCTATGGCGCCCTCCATGCCTTGACAACACTGCAGCAAATTGTTATCAATGATGGCTCTGGTAACATGGTTATCGAACAACCCGTCGCCATCAAGGACGCGCCACTTTACCCAGTCCGTGGAATCATGATAGATACTGGTCGCAACTTCATCACAAAAGCCAAGATCTTTGAACAGATCAATGGAATGTCTCTTTCCAAGCTCAACGTCCTGCACTGGCATCTTATTGATTCTCAATCCTGGCCTGTGGAGATTAACGCTTTCCCTGAGATGACCGAAGACGCCTATTCCGCCAACGAGGTCTTCACCCAAGACATGTTGAAGGAGGTTGTCGCCTACGCCGCCGCACGTGGTGTGCGAATCATCCCCGAGATTGACATGCCCGGCCACGCCAGCTCCGGTTGGGCGCAAATCGACGAGTCCCTACTCACTTGCCAACACAGCTGGTGGTCTAACGACAACTGGGCACTTCATACAGGCGTGGAACCCAACCCCGGCCAACTCGATATCCTCAATAACAAGACCTACGAAGTTACAGCCAAAGTGTACAAGGAAATGACACAAGTCTTCCCAGACAGCTGGTTTCACATTGGCGGCGACGAGCTCTTTGCAAACTGCAATAACTTCTCATCTGCCGCCCTCGCCTTCTTCAACAGTGGAAAGTCAATGGGCGACCTCTACCAAGTCTGGGTCGACCGAGCCCTGCCCAACTTCCGCGCGCAGGCCAACAAGACTTTCGTCATGTGGGAAGATGTCAAGCTCTCTGCTGATGTGGCTGCTACTGGCGTTGTCCCCAAAGACGTTGTCCTCCAAGCTTGGAACAATGGCCTTGATCACATTAGCAATCTCACCGCACAGGGTTACCGCGTCATCGTTTCCAGTTCCGACTTCATGTACCTCGACTGCGGATATGGAGGTTGGGTTGGAAACGATCCCAGGTACAACGTCATGGTTAACCCAAACGCGACAGACGGTTCACCTAACTTCAACTGGGGCGGCGGAGGCGGTTCTTGGTGTGCACCATACAAGACATGGCAACGCATCTACGACTACGATTTCACTTTCAACCTGACTGACAGCCAGAAAGCGCTTGTACAGGGCGCCATCGCACCTCTGTGGTCCGAACAAGTCGACTCTGTAGTTGTATCTCAGAAACTGTGGCCGCGTGCCGCTGCACTCGCAGAACTTGTCTGGAGTGGTAACAAGGATGAAAATGGCAACAAGAGGACCACGGAGCTGACACAGCGTATTCTCAACTTTAGGGAATATTTGGTTGCTGTTGGTGTACAGGCTAGCCCGCTGATGCCAAAGTACTGTCTTCAACATCCGCATCAGTGTGATTTGTATCTCAACCAGACAGCATTGCATACACCTGTTGCTTAGAAGGCTGGGGTATTTCGTTTCTGTATCGGTGGTTTAACCATGATGATCATGACTTTGCTCTTGGTTGTGTGGGTGGAATTGTGAAAAATTGGTCGAACGATCATGGTCAGGAAGGAAGAGCGACGCCTGAGTGTGTCGCGGATTCGTTTCTTTATAGACACAATTATACCCGTTTTGGTCTGAATATATCATTTCTTGTACGAATTGAAACCAGGATGTGCCATGCCCTGTTGCTTTGAACTTCGGTAGTACTGAACGATATCTTCGTGATGAACCTTTGTACACCTGGTCAACAAGCTTCTGCTCTTAGTCGATCTATCGTGCAACAGATGAATTTGATCTTAATGACTATTGCTGAACTTGCCCTAAAGATCACAACTCCGTTTAACATGCTTTCATGAATTTGAAATGTGCACAGTATCTTCTATCGCGACCCATGCTGCTAATCTTCGGGCATCAATTTCGCGCCCCACATTCATTGCTCCCTCCTTCGCCTTGTCCGTTCTTCCTTACTTACGGCGACTTTAGGTTCTTGTCTGCGAGGACTTCATTTGCAGCGGCCATCTCTGGGCTGGTAATGTCCTTCTCGCCTAACGTTTGCGAGTTGGAAGTATTGTCTGAGCTGGTAAATGGCTTTTTCACAGCATCCTTAAGCTTCTCAGTTGTGGTCTTCTGGAGCGAAGTGTCGTCATCTTCGGTGGATGTAGAGGTAGATATAGAAGTAGAGGTTTCAGGAGCGATAGGTTCTATGGGGACGTATTAGCATGTTGGCCAATTATTTGTGCGAGCGAGTAGGTAACAAATCTAAATGGTAGAAAGATGTTAATCGAATATGAACACAAGGACGAGTGCGGACCTTGAAATTGGAGGTCGATGTCGTCACGGGACGGGCCATCAACATCAACGTGAGATGGGGTAGTGCTTGTAGCTCCTGGAAGTCCATTGACAGGAGGCTCTATATTGTGTTAGCGTACGTGTGCTTGTACATTGCTATACAACCGGCGACAACGCCGTTGGAGAATAGCACAAAAACGGGGCAACGTAGTCGTACCTTGGAACTGCGCCGTGTGGTCGGTAGTAGCCATAATTGATGTTATAGGTTGATTCAAGGTTGACTAGGTTGCGATGTTCAGATGATGGTAATCCAACATGTCGGAGTTACGTCCGCGGGGCATTTGGGGTTGTGATATACATTCCCTCGCGCTACGTCACCGGCTGACTGTGCGTATCCTGGCTGTCGCGTGCTCAGATGATTGGGACAGGCCGAGGCGTGGCCACCCCCGCTATTACGCCTCAGACCCTGACTTGAACCCTGAACTTCAGCACTATTTGGGCCAAGTGCTCGTCAGAGGCGCGCTGCCAAAATCTAGAAGGGGACCCATAGATTTCGATTCCTTCATGCGGAAAGAGGATGAAGTCTTGAGGTATTGTTTGGCGTGCTTGGCTAAGGCTAGATGGCGTTCTAGATGATCCGGATCGTATGTAGTCCGTTCTCGTAACGTAGACAAGGCAGACCAGCTTTCGTTTCTTCGTCCAACTCCGCCAGCAGTACATCCTCTCCGTGTTTCGAATAGCCCTCAACACAACCAGTTCTCTCAAAAATCTTGCTCTTGGAGTTCGTAAGTCTGAGGAGGAGGCACCGTACTTCATGATTCCCATACGAACTGCGTCCGATTAACGCAGGCATAGAGAACAGCCGCTCTTCCGTGTTATCGTTATCGAAAGCTGCCTCACCGTACAAAGTATCGAGTCTCACGGATAGCCCTTCATTTGTGTCGTCAACGCCGTGTTTGGTGATGGTGCTACTGCCAACAACCATGTTCCAATATATGGCCTCATCGTATTTGAAACTCTGCAACCTCATAGGTTTGAGGGAGCCACGCAGATCTAACCACCCACCGACCACCGCTCCTGTGATATCTTCAGTTGCGTGATTGAGTACAACATCTTCGACGTGTATCAAGCTTTTTTGTTCAACCCCAGAATCCAACCATATTAGTCCATTCACGGATGCCCAAGACCAGGATGGCGCACGGTAATTGGACGGACGTTTCCCAATTCCTGTCACTGTCCACGCGAGCATACTTTCTAGACTTCTGCGCCACATGCCGGCAACATAGATGTCTTTGATGCGAGACATCATATGTCTGGCTACACCCGAAAGGGCGACTAACTTGTCGCCTGGGACCGATAGCTCTTTGAGAGAGTATTCCCGAACGAGTGCGTACCATAAGGTCTCCCAGTTCGTCTCGTTTGACTTTTCTCTAATACGTCGTTGAGGAAACATCTCACCAGATACATGTTGTTCATTTTGTTCTCGGGATTTGAGAGACGGTGGAAAGTTGCGCAGAATCACAGACGGCAGCGCTCGGGGGAAAGTTTCGCATACGGTGTGCTCCCGACACTCCCAGAACAGCTGGGTTCGTCCAAAATGTAGAACTCGTGGAGCAAGATAGCGCTCTTGGAAGACCCAGCCGCGTTTGTTGAGAGGCGAGTACTTAAGGACATCTCGCCAGAGGAGACAGTCGGTCATCAGGCACTCCACATGTTCAGTATCCGGTCGGATATCGTCTAAGCTGACTTTGACGCACGGACAACCAATGTACAGAGGGGCACGATGCCGGAAAAGGCCCTTCGTGCTATCCTCTGCATCCATTGCGGATATGTTGCAATGTGAATGCATGTATACCTTCTCCATCAGACTCGCCTCTCGGTACCAATCTTGACGATCATCTCCACTTTGAATGATGCACAATGAATCTATCCAGAGGTACCAGACACCCAGTTTTTTGGACACTTCGATGGCTTCTTGAAACGTTTGGGGCAAATTCGCAACAGTATACCGGGGGTCGGACTCAGATGCCATTGCTCGCGTAAGCTGAGCAGGCTTGATATCACCCCAGCAATGGCTCAGGGTAGAATAAGGACCGATAGGTGGATCTTGTGCTGTGTGTATGAGCCGGACGTGTTTTTCATCTTCACACGAGTTGGCAAGATGCAAGAGACGTGTTGGATACCAAGTGGGGTTACGCTCAGGTGTGTTGCAGTCTGGATGTGAACTGACACACTCTTGCAACCACTTGGTAGCCGTCTGCATAGATTCAACTGAAGACGTTCGGTCACTAGTGAAGGCAATTTGTACATCGGAAATCTGAGATGGTGTACGACCTATTCCATGGTCAACCCATGCAAATATTCTACTATGGCAAGACTTACTCTCGTTCGGTTCTAGGATGAATAAGCTATACCTCTCGCTACCTGCCAGCATCTCGCTATTGTAACGTATAGCCAAGCTAAACGTATCAGGCGCTACCCAGAGCCTCAAATTCGCGGTCGTAATGAATGTTAGCACTGGGGTCTCAGCTGGAGAAACCTCACCCTTTCTTGAATCAGCAGAATGCAAAGATTCCTGTTCATCGCCGGATAGTATGCTCCACGCTTTCTGGCAGATATGACACCCATGGTTTGCTGATGTAGCGAGGGAAGCGCATGTGGCATGATGGCCGAACTTATGAATATGTATCAGCCTTGTCAAACTGATGTACGTATGGATTGCTTCACTAAGTGTGCTTACAGTGTATTTTTTTTTTCCAGAACTTGGATTGTACCTTGGATCTCCAGGTTTTGTCACGTTGATGAGATTTTGACGGTGCTGCAATACGCTGACACAAGTATCGCAAAACATCCTTAAGGTAATGTTGTTCAAAGATCGGTAGGTCCATGTTCGGATCTGGAAGACCAGGCTGCAATGGTAAGACATCAGTACCCCGCAGCCTATTCTGTGACCCTGGCCGCTGCCATAAGCCTTTCTTTCCTCCCCTCTTTCCAAGCCTTGTCAAGGGCCTCTAATTTTCCGCCTAGCACCTGGACGTTGTTTGGCTCAAGCATAATGACGCCTCTTCTTACATCGACATTACGCAGTACAAGTTTGGCACCCATGGCCATGTTGGTGTTGAGTCCGTCAATGCCTCGCAGATCCATGGCATAGATCTTGAGTGCTTTAGCATCCTGCAGTAGCAGCTTGAAAGGACCTTTGCTCTGCATGGGTGCTGCAGCCTCAGCAGTCCCCTCGTTTTCTTGTTCTACAACACGCACAATCTCTCTCCCTTTCGTCATTTCACCCCGCTCTTGTGCTTCGATAGATTCGACCTGGGACCAACGCGAGTGGCCAATATCTTCAACGTCAAGCACTTGACAGACAATCGGGCCAGGGATGATGCGGGATTGGATGGTGCTTTTTAGTACATCGTTGGGAAACAACGAGACTGCAGGCTGACTGAGCGACGTGGTAATGTCGGTGGCTAGTAGGCGGAAGTGGGCGGTCTGCTTGATGGCGGGCAATGGCGTGTTCGGTCGGGTTGTGGAGAGGAAGCTTTGCAGCCATGCTGCGGTAGGATAGAGATGTCGCGCATTTAGGTGCTGTGTTAGCTCAGCTGCAATATTAGCTGCCATAGCAGTAATCAATTGGGATTATGTTAGGTGTGTGCGTGGACTTGCTTCTTCGTCGGATAAGGCTAAAGATGTGTGGGAAACGCGACGCGTAGAATGACGTGGGGCGTTCACAAATTGTGGCCTCGGCCCCTTCACATGAAACTCGAGCTTCAACATCATCCCATCCACCAAACCCTACAAGACATTCAAAGAGACAACATTACAACATGTCAACTATAGCCTCGCCCCGCGCCAGCTCCTCGGTCCGTAGTCCTTCCTTAACCCGCACCTCAATCGACAGCAGCTCGTCACATCGCCCACCTCCAGCCGCACGCCGAAACCGCGCCGCTCTTCGCGAATTCTACGGCCTCAAGAATGCTCCCAGAGACGCAACACCAGATGCCAGGATATCCGAAGAATCTTCGGCAACACAGCTTGGGCCAGAAGAAGACGAGACCCTCACAGAGCTCGACGCTGCCGACTTCAACGCGGAAGCCTTTGTAGAGAGTTTGCTTGCGAAAGAAGGCCTGAAGGGCGTTTTGAAGGTCGAGGCAGACTTGGTATCTCGTATGCTATGACTATGAACGTGGCAGTAGGTAAAATACAGGCTAATGCTGGTACAGAGATCAGGAATCTAGACAGCGATCGCAAGTCCCTGGTCTACGACAACTATTCCAAGCTGCTCTCCGCAACTAGCACCATCCGACGCATGCGCGGCAACATGGATCCTCTCGCACCAACTACGCATACTCTCGGCCCCGCCATATCACACATCGCCGAGACAGCCGCTTCCCTATCATCCTCGCTACAGGGTAGCCATCACTCAAAAGAAGAAGGATTGGGCATAAGCATACGTGTTGAGCAAGACGACAAAGACAAACTGGACATGAACAAGAAGCGGAGACAACAAGACACAGTCAGGTGGGTATTGGGCACACCGCGACGTCTGCAGGACATGATAGATCGAGACCAAGACGACGACGCAGAAAAGGAGTGGCAAGAGGTCAGTAGGATACTCGACAAGTGGAGAGGTGTCGCTGGCGTACAAGAGCTCAGAGAGCAATGCGAGGCCATTATGCAGCATCAAGACGACGAGGAAGATGGATCAGAGTGAAGCATTCATTCTCTGGGATAAAGAAGACACCCTGCTCATCACATCATGAATGCTCCTGCATGAGTAGGCAAGCATGATGCTACCAGTCATACAGCCACCTCGTACCCTGCCAACATAGGTAAATGGCCAAAGGGATGCTCGCGTACGACTCCAAGACACTGCAAGCCGCATACCAAGCATTACCGCCACCCAGCGTTTACGCCGCACTAACAAATCTTTGGAGCATCACAGCATCTTTCTCAAAGCTCAACGGTATTCATACCACGTTTCTGTCCAGCTACTATCTACTTTGCCGCCTCGTGGAAATCGTTTAAATCCATTTCCAGCAAAACTCAGAGTTGCAACAAGACAGGAAAGCCAGGCAAAGACATATTTATTTTGTGTTTGTGCAAAAGCACAGGAGATGCTTGTTCCAGATGCAAGAAGCTTAACTTAGTTCAATGCACGAGCGTTCATGTGCCGGCGACGAAGGACAAGAGGAGACCACTGATCTCGTTACAAAAGCTATAGACTTGCAATAGAACCAGTATCTCACAAGCGACTGAAACCATGATTTCTTTCTACCAACTATCCACCGCAAGCGGACCTGCGAAAAAGAGAAGGGCATGTAATCTACGTTGTCGAATCACAAAAAAAACAACATGTAAAAACATACAACAGCGGGGATTCGCTAGTGGTCACCCACCTAACTACTAATCCGCCGGTACACTGCTTGTATATGGCTGAGCGGACGGGAAGCCTAATTTTCAGTGTCCTATGGTCGTATGTATCAATTTGACCACTCTGTCATTAATTGTACTCGAGTTTTGTGCAACCCTCAGGATTGGCATGCACGCCGAGAACGTGAAGACAAATTGGGTACCAAAGTAGGAGACGAAGTGGAAAGGGTCAAACAGCATGTGTAAAATCTGAGAGCAAGAACATGATAGATGTTTGGACGACTGTGTTGGTACATGACGAAATTTTGAGAGACATCTAACGTAGAAGGCGCTAAGCAGGATCGACATATTTGACCCTTTCCGCACACATAGTCTTGCACTCTCCGAGATAAAGCGTCAGACCCTGTAACTAGAAGATCTCATCTATACCATGCCATCAACCAGCATCGGCCCAGAACAGTTTCCTGTTATACCCTTCCATCTACCATTGCTGCGCTTAGCTTGCCGCATCCTTGACCACACTCTCCCAAATACCCTGCCAATCCGCTTCTCCACCCCCATATCTCGCCTCAAAAGCATTCATTGCCAGATTGCCCAAAAACGGCCTCACCAACCGATTCACAAGCTCTCCTCTAGTCATCTCCAGCACCGCAGCGCCTTCTTCCTTCTCGAGAGCCTCGATGAGCGGATCTAGGAGTAATGTCCGCTTGGGCTCATCAGCATCTGATCCATTGATCGCAGTTACAGGCATCGCAGGTGCTGTCGATGACCTGGTAAGAACCTCGTTGATCTCGTCTGTAAGAGACATCAGCGTCGGTGGTGTGACAGGCTTGTACACGGCGTCGATGGTGTCGGAGATGAAGAGCCACTCCATAAGTTGGAAGTCATCGGGATCTAGTACAACTAGCTCGTCGAGTAACTTGCATGTCTGGATTATGCCGGCGTTGTTATAGTGTTCCTTGTTCGGAGCGTCTAGCAAGAGGGCCGATAATCCAGATGTTAACTCGCCATTTACAACCGGCCAAAGTGACGCGAGGTGAATAGGTGAGGTCTTCAGAATGATAGCACGTAACAGCACTATGACATCTGTACGGGTGATAGACGAAGGAGAAGACGCGGGTGTTGCGGTAAGCAACTCGACAACCTTCTCCAGAACCTGGGGTATGTTCGGCGTGAAAGCGTCCTCAGGGCTACCTAGAATAAGAAGCGCAATGCGACGTAATGTAAGCTGTGTCTTCCGGTCGGCTTCCTGCCGAGCAGACGTTGCACCCACGCCAAACATGAGGCCAGCCGTTGTGGGTGCTGAAAGCCGTGATAGTAGTTCGGGGACTCGCTCCTTGTCAGACTGGGTCCACTGTGCGAGGATAGGCAGCCAAGCTTCTCTCAGTAGAAGGGGCGTTGTATTGAAAAATCTAGGGTCATTGAAGGCATCATAGATGTCTTTCTTGAGCAGCTTGTTGCCTTGTGCAATCTTGGTAAGACCTTGAAGCAGATCCAACGTGTTTCTCGATACGTTGTCAGGGAATGCTTTTGCACGGAAGGTGGGGCCAATGACAGATGCCGAGATGTCAGAGACGACCTTTGCAACACGGTCATGTTCTACCAGAATGATCGACAGTTTTGGTACAATGGTGGTGAGGATAGAAACAACGTCAATTGCTCGCTTCTGTGCGCGGATGCCGTTGGTTATCGCAGTCGTCTTTTCATTTGCAGCTTGATTTGAGTCTTGCAAATAGCCCATGGAGCGTGTCGTAAAGATCGCAGTCAAGATTCTAGCAAAGATATCCTGTATACGTGATTAGCACCTCTACATCGAACGAACACATATACTTACTGCTAGCTCTCTCCGCATCTTCCGCTGCTCTCCGAAGTTAGTGTTATCAACCTTCTGACCTATGACAGCGGTGAACTCCAACAGCGTAGGCAGAATCTGTCGATGTGGGAGGGGATTCGCAAGCACGTCTCGCAAGAATAGAGTGCAATCCTGCCATATCTCGTCCATAGCATCGTCCTCTAAAGAAGTCGTATATTCAACCAAGAAGGCGACTAGTTCGGTGTCGGTAAGATCAGAGGTGAGCGTTGACTGTCGATTAGTGTCCAAAGCCCCAGGATCGGTCCGACTGTACACGGCGTTGAAAATCGCAGGTATTGTGTGCTTTGGCTTTGACCCGTTGAGGACATTCAGAAGTCCTGTAATAGCTGGTCCTTGCGTATCATCAGGGGTCGCATGCGCCCATAGGACTACCAATGTCTCTAGACATTCCAGTGCCTCCGCAGCAAAGAGATGTTCTAATGTACGGCGGGCTCGATTGCGCATGCGCAGAGAAGTGTAAGAGAACGACGATGCTGACGTATGGTCTTGTACTTCTAGCATATGTCCCCATGACCATATCGCAAAGCATATACGGACCGTGTCTTGGAAGCATAGGAGAACTGAGAGTCTGCTGTTCGCGGTTGGCGTGCGAGTTTGGTTTGTATCAGACGAAATCAGACCAGATACCACGTTACTGAAGAAGCCCTGGGGCTGCTCTGGGGACTTGTTGGCCGACACCCTCGTCTCTTGTGTTGTCAAACGTTCGTGTGCCTTGGCCAAAATCTGCTCTAAACCGTTCATGAGCGATATCAGAGTGGACTCTGGAGATACTGTCGGCATGACTTGTGTCTTGGCGAATGTTGACTTGAGCTGCTCAAATGCAAGGTTGATCTCTTTGCAGAGACATTCCACAAGCGGAAGGAGGTTTTGGAATATTGTATCAGCGAACATTGGTAAAACCTCAACGAGGAATTGAATCCAGTCATCAAGGACCAAACGGCTAGCTGGGGAGGAAAACCCGAATTTCAAGCACTCAACGAGCTGAGGAGGTGGAGGTATGGGCGCTGGCGTATTGTCTTCCGAATCTCTGTTCATTGCTGATGACAGACGTGACCGGTTCGCTGGGTGATTTGAAGGTTTTGGTTCTGGTGCGGGCTCTGGTGGACGGGTAAGACGGAGTTTCAGTGCGGCCAACTCTGCATCTAGTAAAAGACTTTGCAAAGATGGGCCTGCCGATCGTAGTCTTGCCATCAAGGGTACTTCGAGTTCCAAGTCTCGAAGCGGAGGAGCAAATGGACTACGATAGATTTGCGATATGACGGAGACGGACAGTCGGTGTAGTTCATGTATATGGGGCTCCAGGTTTGATTCCGAAGTATCAGCTCGAAGCGACAATGTAGTCAAGCAGGTACGTACGAGCCACTCCTGGATGGAAATGCGTGATGATGATGGTTCCGGCCACGTAAGAGTTACCTCAGCAAGAGTTACCCAAGTGAAGTGTGTTGGTCGTTTGATGACATTAAAGACGTGTCTGAGGTAGTACAGGCATTCTTTTGTATCATCCCTTCTAGAGTGCGGTGGTCGTTCCTGCGACCCCTTGGTAGGTGCCAGATTGCTTGAAACTAGGAGACAATTGAGCGATTGGATGTGTAGTGCGAGTACTTCAAAGACTCTATTCAAGCTTGGTAAGTCTGGCAACCAGTTTTGCATGAATGTCGAGGTTTCAGAGCCCTCTTCTGTCAGAGTGTCCAGAAGTAGAAGTAGCGGCCTTGTCAAAACAGAATGAAAGTCACCAGCGGGCGTTGGGACTTGCGTGACGTTACCGCTCGGTCGGCGCGTAATGGTCACACGCTTTTCTGACTGCAAGTTCAGTTCATGCATGATATGCGTCCAGAGTGTCGCAAATCGTCGGGCACAGTCGGGAGAGCTGTTGGAGATAGAATCGCGGCCTGTCTGCTCCACGATGATAGAAGCAATGGCACTTTCAACCATCCGGCCTGTAGGGGCAATGGAATGCAGCTGCAGCAAGGAGCGTGCCGTCTCGACATGGTATTTGGGCAATGTCGGCGAGAGATATTGCCAGAAGTACTGAACTAAAGGATGGATGAGCTCAGGCAATTGGCTAGAGGGGATATGAGGTTTCGACGCAAGTGCTGTCTGAAGTGCCAGCAAAACAGTCGTAACAGCACTTAAGTGCGAGAACGAAAGATCTTTGTTAGACTCGTCAGACGTTTGGAGAATGTCTGCAAGCATGGCGGTGAGATCAACGTCCTCGATGGCCTTTAAGCATTGCGTTTTGAATACCAGGTTAGACAAAATCTTTGAAGGCATCTCCACAGAGATCTCAGAGTCCGTCGATTGGATGGATGCTGTGAACATGCAGGAAGCCTCACGAAGCACGATTTGACCAAGCAGTGGTGGCTCGAAAGGGGGATCAGCTGCATCAAGACTTCCTTGAGATTCTTCGTAGAATGCCTGGATTTGCTGGGTCACAGTGGATCGTGGTATCTTGAGGGCTGCAGATATCTGCTGGTCCGTTGCTTGGTCGCCTCGAAACGACCGGTCTGGCACTATCTGCACAAGTGAATCTGCAATCTCAAGGGCAAGACTCATGACTTCTGCGCCCGCTGGTGATTTGCGGGTCTTTCCGGAGCTTTCATTCAAGGACACAAGTGACGAAAGCACCATTAGAGGCATATGATGCAGCAACATATCTTCTTCCCTGAGATTGAAGCGGGCTAGAACGAACTTGGCCAACTTCATCTTCTCTAAAGCTTCATCATTAACTGCCCCATCTGTCTGCAAAGAAGACGTGATGAGATGAATCAGCTTGCCCCAAATGAGGCCACTATCGACGCCATCGAAGAATGCGCTAGCACTTCTCATGACTTCGTCGACTTGGTCCTTGGGTGCAGTCTCGCTGTACGAGTAGACGCTTCGTAAAGCGGGCAGGAAGATGTCGGGTACAATCAACCCACCTACTTCCCATCGGTCCATGAGAGATAAACAGACTCGGAAAGGACGTGCTCGCTCGGAAGGTGATGCGCTATGACGACTAATCATCTTGAGGACACTGTTTGTGAGTGCCTCGAGACCGTATCGCGAAAAGAAGGCAGCTTGGTGTGCTGAAGGATCTACTGTCGTACTGTGCTTGTCCGTTGTTGGAGATGTAACCCCATCGTTGGCCTCAGCAGCAGTAGGTTCTGGGCCCAAGAACCATGCCCAGAGCCGGCGATTCAAGCTCATGTCTCTGCGCGACACAACGCTGGCAGCGGCAGCTACAAGTCGTTCCAAATCCCCTTTGCCAACACGCTCCTGCAGGACGGGTGAGTCGAGAGGTAGATGGCTGACCAACAGATCGAGAAAGCCTCGTTGAATGAGTATTTGAGGATCTGATAGGCCTGATTCGAAGCAACGAATAAGGAGACCAGGCTCTGGCGATGTAGCTGCCTCAGCCTCCTCGGACAAGGTTCCTGAGGGCGTGGAGAGGTCAGAAGGAGAGTTGCGCCGCTCTGGCCGTCCGAACTTGGGCAGGCGACGTACGAGGAAAGCAAGTGCACCTTGCCTCCTGGAAGGGTTCGTGATGGTTGCCAGGAAAAGGCATTGCCAGAAGTGGGACGAGGCACTGGCCGTCTTGGAATCGGCTGTCTCGTGTGAATTGTCTTGCACGGCGGTCCGCAGCTTCTCGGTTGCAGAAACCATGCGCTCAAAGTCCTCGCTTGTCTCATCTTCTAGTCCAGGTAGGAGAGAAAGTATGATTGCTTTCAAGGCCGGGCGAAGTGCAGCTCCGCCAAGCTTCAGGATGTGCTTTTCGAAGACGGAGAGGTAGAGGGGGCGGACCGAGAGCGAGGCGAAGGAGAGGACTGAAGCAAGGCCGGGGAAGTAGAGGTTGAGGTCACGGGCGAGTGCATCTTTCTGGGCATGGGTCAGCTTGTGCTGGGCTGACGTGGGGAGGCAGGCATACACCGATGGTAGAGAAGATGTAGTCATAGACTTCGAGGGCTTTCTGGTGAACGCCCGAGGGCAGTGTTGGATTCAAGCACTGCGCTAATCGCAGTGCGACAGTATCGCTATGTGGTATGGCGGGTATGTTTGGAGGATGCGCTTGCAGGGCCTGGACGGTGGTTTGTATAAGCGCTTTGTCTCATGTTGGGAGTAGCATGGCGGTATTGACCTTCAGCAGCCGTCCCAAGAATGATATGTAGTCGGCCCATTCCTGCTGTGCAGTGTCCCAGAGGGCGAGAGCGCGTTCGACACCGGCCGCATATCGTCGGAAGTTCTTGTCTTTCTTGTACAGAGCTGTTTTACTACGGTTAGCTTCACCAATGCCCAGACGCAGAAAGAAGACATACGCTCTTCGGCTGCATGGCGCGCCGACCGCGGTGCTGGACTTGAGCGGCCAGAGCCCGGTGGTGACAAGACCTGCAGGTTAGCAGTGGGATCAGCCGACATACTGTGTCTGGCAGGTATCGATGTGTCCGTGTATCAATGGCAGGGCGCTGGACATGCTGCTCCTGGTCGTGGGTGGTGTTGAGCGTCTAATCCGCTGCCTGGCTATCTACCAAGGCCATTGCGACCGTGGACACGAAGCACTTCGGCGCGAAGGGGTCCGTGCCGAGGGACATGCCCGTCATCGACGCGCGCCGCACGCGACATCAGCTACAACACCATGAAGCCTAGACAGTCGCCCTACAAATCACCGAGGCCAGCGCACCATGCACGACGCAGTACCGGTGATTACTTCATCGTCGTCACATCTTAGCCACAACTGACCGTAGCAGGCCTCACACGATCCCCCACCTGCCCCACCACCCGCCGACGCCTTCCAGCCTGACCTCCCGCCTCATGAATACCCTCCGCCTGACGAGCCTCCACCATCCTATCATGACGCCATTGGGATGACCGGTGCGCCACCAGGCTACGGCACCTTCCGACCATATAGCGAGGAATCCTCCATAGCAAGCAGCGAAGTCGAGTCCACCCACCGCGCACTTCCTGAATGGTTTGGACAGGCCTTGGTCGTATTCATCTTCATATGCCTCATATATGGCTTCTGGGAGTTCATCAATACTCCTGACACTTGAACGACCTATCTCATAAGACCATATTCTACCGACGAGACTACATGCTGTGCGAGAGCTATAGATCATGGACACAATTATCCAACAAGGGAAACGACGAATCTTCACGACACTTCAAGGAATAATTTGGCTCTGCGATGCGAAAGCATAGGGCTATTCAACATATTTTGCCAGCATCATCATGGTACACGCATTGGCCGTCTTCGTCTGACTGGCCTTGCCTTAAGATCCAGGCCTTATTCCAACCAATACGACAAAGTACTTTGAGGGCACAAGGGTTGGAGGAGAATATTTCGCCCACAACAAGAGCACTAGAGACGGTAAATACCCGTCTTGGATTACATCTAGAGTATAGTCTATCCCAGAGGAATTCGCTGCTATGTTTTCTTCTAGTGGGCTAAGAACATCAGACATGTAACACCAAGTCTGCCCACCTGTAATGACTGACATGTAAATCCGTTAACCAGTCTGATACTATCTCGCAAGCTCCTCAATCAGACATCATGGTGCGGAATAATCCGAAAAAGTTCTGCCTCTGGTACCATGCTGGTCGTTTCATGCAGCTTGATTGTACTACCCAAGACACAATATTCATCCATTGCTACGTCAACGCACTATAATCTCACCACTCAGCCACTATCGCACTCACGCCGGCTCTGAACCATCCTTAGATCTCGCGATAGCGCAATAATGTGGCGGTCGCTGCGATTGCTTGCTAAGAGTACGTAGTACGTCGGAGTGAAGCTTAAATCTAGTGTTGATGCGGGTGAGTTCTAGTCACCCGATAGCGAACTGGCCATCTCAAAACCAACAACTTAGTCGTGGAAATAATGGAGTGTGGCTAGAAGGGTAGCTGTGGCGAGTGTCGGCCCGCCCAGTGGGGTTTTTTGCTGGTGTGGCATTGAAACTGACCGGCGCTGGTGTTGGGGTCACAAGTACTATATCTGAGGGTCGAGCGGAAGAAGGGCACTACTTGGACGACTCGTATAGCGCTGTTCCAGTGTTTTTCGAATCGAAACTGCGGATCATAGGCGGGTATCTCCTCTTCCGGAAACCGATTCGTGGTCGGGAAATCTGCTTGGCGGTCGGAGATGGAAAGGGTAGATGGTCTCTTTACTTGACAGTTGATGCTGGAGTTGTGAGGTTGTCCAAGCGACGAAACATGTGATTTTGCAGGCCTCAATTTGAGCGTCTCAGCGAGTGTCCCTTATTCATCATCAGAAAAGACATGTTACCGTGTCGCTGTGCTTGAGGTAATCATCGCGTTAAGAACGTCTGTCGGAAAGGAGTGACATCGACACAACTCATACTACTACACCAACGCTTGCGATGACATGTTGATAGGAAGCACCGCGTGTACATGCTCAAAGCAATGCCAAGTCCTCCCCTAGACCTCCCGACATGCGACAAGCGACCCGACAAAGCTCCAGGTTTCTTTCCCCCGAAACAAATCCCGTCCCACATGCATCAGACTCATCTCGCCTCACCCAACGCCAACTCCGGTCCCAATCCAGTTTCCAACCCATCCCGAACGAAGACGATCCAAGCCGGCAGCAAACACCCGAATCAGAATCGGTCGACGTCTGCGAGCTGGCGCGTTCCTTACCCTTGCACCTAGTCCCAGTTCCCCATCGAGGAGACAGGAAATGATCCACATGAGTCTAGTCTTGTTCATCAGGTACCCACCTGTGCACCTGGCTCGCAGCATCATACCTGTTGCGGCAATCTTCGCGGCCATGGCACGCCAGGCAGGGGTTAGCCCGTCGACATGGATTTTCCTGCTTTTCACAAGCTGCAAAAGCTTGGAGCAAAGGCAGTGAGTGGGGCGCGTGCTGGCGCGGCTTTTGGACCCCACGCCGCGCTACGCTAATCGCTAGTTCGGGGCGAGATCCGGGATCCCGAACGTTGGGTTTAACCGTAGCGTGTGTTGCTTGTGGGCGTGCTGTGGTAGGCATAGGCGACTTTGTGCACGGTGAAGTGAATTGGGATAGTCACATACGTAGTCGGGATCTTTGTGTTTGCGGATGTGCTGTGGAGGGTCATGTTACCCGAGGTAGGCACTAGAGGACACAAGATGAGTTTATAGATGAAAAACGCTTCCAGTGGTCGTGAATTGTATAGTATTAAAATAGATCTAACTTGAGAAAAGGCTTCCAAAAGGCCTGTTGTGGTGGTAGCAAAGCGTTGTCCGGACACTGGAAGGACACCTCATTCAACGACTTCAATTCCTGTAACGTGTAGATTCATACTTCCTATCCTTCTTCATCCTTCTCTTCCCATGCGGTCTCCTCCTTGAGCCCCAATACCCATCACCTCCGTCTTCTGCATCTTCTTCGCGCTTGCATTTTGGGTGTGCATGATCCTCATGTGAGCCCATCGGCCAGATGGGTATGAAGCAGACCTCTTCGTCCGCACATGCTCCACAGTCCTTCCACGTTGTCCAGCGTAGAAACTCAACTAGATCATCGATAAGTTCGACAGCATGTGAGGCATACACAGACGTGAATGAAGAGTGAGACGTAGGCGAAGAGGCGATGGAAAGGGCAGTCAGGAGTGTGTCGCACAGCCGATGCGTCACAACGTATAGGTTGAGGTGCGCCAGAGAGGCGACCGGTTGTGGCGGTAAAGGCAACGTGGGGATGTACTGAGACACACAGCGTTGTGTCTCCAGTGTTGCGTTGCGAGCGGAAGAGATGAAGGGGCGAAGTAGCGTGGCGAAGTAAAGAGTAAGTGCATCCTTGTCTTCTCGAATGTCCTTGTCGGTGTGAAGGTGATGAAGAGGTTTGCTGTACCGCTGTACTACCATATCAGCCACTGCTTGCCAATCGCGCAATTGTTCGTCTGTGTTCCAGTCTTTTCGCAGAATCATATCCGTGACATCGTCTTTGACACGCATACGGTCACCCTCTATGACATTCTGTAGTCTAGGCATAGCATAGTCGGACTGTACGTCGTTGTCAAACAGCCCCTCGATGTTGGGATAAGCAAAGACGCTAACGAAGTTCTCAAGATCCAACTTCACCCTATTACCGCCAATCCCTTGGTAGCGCGAGGTGAGAGCTTTGAGGTACTGCCAACCATCTGGTCCCTTTCCAGATGCACCACGGTGCTCGTGTTGAGATATCGCAACAACGTCCTTTCTTTGCAGATGTTTCGTAAAGTCACAAAGTATAATCTCGAAGCCAGCCTCCATGCGCAAGACGCCATCGATCTTATTTTCCCAAAGTGTTTTGGTTAGATTGCAAAGACCTTCTGCGCGCTGATATTCGCCTGCCATAGGGCTATCCAAGTCAGTGAGATTAAGGAGTAGCATGTCTTGGGTATCGAGTGTGCCATTAGGAGTCTTTCCAGCGGAAAGGCCATCAAGATATAGCAGGCGAAGGTTATGTTTTGGCGTGTAAGTGTGTAAGTAGCCGTACTCGGTGTTATCTTTCGATGCTTGTGAGCTCAGTGGCTGCTGAGTGTCGCTTCTTTCTCCACGATATGCAGGAGGTCCACGATTGAATCGTTCATAGTGGTTAAGATCATACGTCGAGGGACGTGTTCGTGATCGCTCGTGGAGTGGTGGCTGTTTCCAAGGAGGGGATACCGGCGTCGCTCCTGAGGGTTTCGAATCAGCAAATCGCACAGCATTTGGGTGACGCTTCCTACCATCATCCATAATTGGAGATGGTTTTCCGTTGTGTCGTCTGCCCGGTTCATCTACTCCATTATGAGGTCGATCGTTTGGCGGACCATGCCCTTCTCCTGGCGGCGGTCCCCGATGAGGCCGTGCGAAGACGAGTGCGTGCTCTGGTTCGAACGCCAACCACTGTGTCCCGGATATCTCTTCTTGCTTCGAAGTTCCATGGTAGAGCTGTGTTCCAGCTGGTACTGTGGCGAGGAAGAAAGACATTCCATTGTGGTTAAGTGACGAACCCCATTGTCTCATGGACGAATGAACGGCGTTGAAGACATGGTTTGCATTAGGCACTTCCGGAATTTCGTTTGTAGCATGCGATATAGGAAGAACAAGAACGGAGAGGAGAAGAACAGCCAAATGCTGGAGATACATTGTGTAGTAGAGAGACTTTCAAATCCCACCTTTGGGCCAGGATAAAGGCAGTTGCTTATTAGCGATCCTCGCACAACATTTTCTCAAGCAAAATCTGTGAAGTACACCGGGTATGAGTTTTTCAGTAGCATACGCGTTCGCGATATCACGATAGTGATTCGTGTCGAAAGTGACGCGGCTTCAAAGAAGTGTTACGAATGCACGCCGATTTCGGCTAGGGAGATTAGATAAGATGTCATCGTGTGATTGGCCATGTAATTATCCATAACAGACAGTCGTCCTCGCGTTTCTTGTCATCAACATGAACCCAGATTCGCATGATACCGCATCTCTGATGGACGATAGAAAGATGCACGGCGAAAATTCGCCGTGCGAGGTTGGCGGCTGGCTTACAATGGCATCGGCCCGACTGGTACACAGGACTGTGGCCCGGGTGCATGCAACCCTGGTGAGACCATTCAGAGGACTCCATGTAGCGCCCTCAGATCGGCGACGTTGGGTTGTAATGACAGCGCAATATGCACTTCTTCGAGACATATGCTGCGGGGCGGAGTTGGTGTTCCAGATCACAAATTTCTCTTCTTGCACCTTCCTTTGTAGACAAGATGCAGATGTCTGTGCCATTGTGCATCATCAAAGCGTTAGCTCGCTTGTCGTTCGAGGTTAGCATTCAGGAACCAGTGCGGCTATTCCGCACTTCACGCGCGAATCCCGGCCTTTTCCGCCTCAGGCCAGCGCCACAACCTCACTACGGCTTGATGGCTGGCAGAGCGCGGAATTGCGATAAATGGAGCCGTCTGCCTGGCGCCCGCGAGTCAACCGGGTCGTTCGATGGATTCGACAGGTTAACACTGACTCGCTATCATTATACCCGATGGCAATAGGTGCACTGCGATTTGAAAGGCATGTGTCAGCCTAGGAAATGTGGGTTCTAGTGGGTATCAGCAGTATCGACGGGGCCTCTGTTCTTGCTCTGGAGTTTCGGTGTTCGGTGTCTTGGAAACAGAGACAAGCGAGTGCGTCATTGGGCATGGCGTGGTGTGTTGGTCGGAAGCAGTGACATAGACGCGGTTCGTCAAGTGTTGGAAGACTGCACGGTGCAACCATCGCATTGCCTTCCCAAAGCCGTTGATCATCGCCAGGGTCCAAAAGATGCATGCTGGGATCCCCATATCCATGCACGGTTGACAGCTTGGCCAGACTGTTCGAGGTGCAGATGGACCGAGAAGGTTGGAAGCATTCGGACAATAACCTCTCGACTGGAAATGATCAGGTCATCAAAGGGCTGTTCAACCCATACCCAGACATGGGGATTGCGTGTTTGAGAGCACACGAGCTCTGCACGCATGCCGTGTGCGCCGTGCGAAAGCCCTCCCGATGAAACGCGCACTAAAAAGCAAAGGGCCAGGGCTATATGCGCTTAGCGACCAGGTTAGAACGGATTGTGGGGGCCATGTAAGGGCGCAGAGGAGCGCAGACTGAAGAAATGAGGGTTCGTTTGTAGCGCGACCCAGATCGACCCTTCCCAGCAGATAAATAAGCTACTGGAGAAGAGTGGAGTACACTAGCTCTCCATCGGGCCATGGCCATTCCCATTATTTTCACCGGTGGGACAGGGGACAAATCGACCTAGATCTCCTGCATGAGTTTGACACCTTGACAACTCGCCAACCACAGTACACAGCGACCTCGTGGCGGCACAGTCAAACCTCCGACGGTCATGGTCAAGCGAATCCTTCTCACGGGCTATCGTCCATCCGGACGGCCGTCGTCTTGTGCTGTGTGACTTGGACCCTTGTCTTCCATGCCGTCGCCCTGCCGCGGCCATGAAAATCGCGTGTTTGGCTGCTTAACGGCCGCATCGAACGGCGCGTTGTCAGGGCCGCAGGATTGCCGCCCGGAACATATGCCGTAAGCTCGCACATGTTCAGCTTGTAACTGGCTATGCAACGGTGCGGTAACTTCAGAAACTATTGGACGTAGCCGCTTTATGATGTTGTTCGTGCACTAGCGTGGCACAAACACCAGCGCAGCGTGACGCACCTTTGTCACGAGCAACCACCATGAGTTTTTTTTTTGATCGATGTGTGCTCGGAGTCCGCGATGGGGTCGACCTCATCGTGCATACGTTCCTCTGCCGTATGTAAGCTCGCGGGATGGAACCGTTTGGGCGCCCTGCTTTCCAACCTTGGAATGCATGTGATGCAATGTGACTGGAAGCCGTAGTAACAGCCCTCATCTAACGTAATGTGTCCTATCGATCCATCGATATGCACGTCTGACTGGAAGCCATGCATGTCCCAAATTCTTGAAACGGCTTGGCTTGTTGCTGAACCATGACGATAGCCACCATCGCGGAAATAGTCTCCAGCCGCATAGCACCGCCATGTCGTCGGGTGACATGTCTGTCGGAGCTCGCTGCGAAATAAAAACACTTGCGGCATGGCTTCGTCTGGTCCGTAGTGGGGCCACCATCGCTCTCGATCGCTGAACATACCATATTCGCAGTCCGATCATTTGCTAGACGGAGCAGAACGCCCGCCAATAATCCTTGCGCGGTGAGCACAGAGATGATTCGCGACGACGATACAGCCACCCTGTCACAGGGTCCCGGCCCACATGAGTGGATGGCACCGCAAGTCAGCCTTGTTAAGGCAGTAAGGCCTCCCACTAACGAGCCGGAGTCGCAGACCATTAACCCCCGACCATGTCGACATTCTGGCGTGACAATCCGTGGTAGGACTGGTGTCGTGCCTACGATGTTGTTGGAAAGTAGCTTCGAAGCACCTGGATGACGTAGTCTTCATAAAAATGATCAAGAAAATGGAAGAATGCGCAGCGTCGTATTGGTCAGGAATTGGGATTGAGATAGTGGTCGCTATTCAACGTCACTCGTAGCAAGCTAGTGTAGGCAACAGCAGCGCCATATGCATCTATCCACACCAATTCCCAACAAGCGTTCTAACCGTCCTGTGTCCTTTTCGAATGATCCAAATGACTCTACTCGATACCTAGGTATACTCTAGTTTGGTGAAACGCCATAGCAATGCAATGATGCAGAAAATACTGCGTTCGTAGATGAACAGGAATGCGAATGCAAAAAACAAACAGGGTATCATGAACGAAAGTGAAGTGTTTATAGTCCTGGCAGCCCGTGGCATTTCGTTGTCGGCGGGTCTCCAGTTTTTCCGCCTTCTGCGCTGCTAGCGAAGGTTTACGGCGACGAATCGAACCAGGGCAGGAGATACAGACGCTGTAAACGCTGAAGCGATCCTTTCCGAGACGACACAGTCGGTAAGCGTATCAGAAGCACATCGTCTAGGTGGAAGTCGTTGAAGACTTTCTAGATGCTTTGAGATGAATTCTCTTGACGTGATCTCTCTATAAAAATCGTTAGCGACGCTCGATGCTGTGTGAGAGGGAGTGCATATTTACCATGTTGTCCACACGACTGAAGACCCTGTCGCATCCTTCCCAGTCACACAAGACACCCGGGTTGTGCTTTGCCTCATGTCTTGCAAGATCCTTTTTACTCGAGAAGCCCCCTCCTGTTGATTGTGGGCAATCGCCATGACGGCAAAAGAAAGACTTTGTGTGTCTCTTGTAGTGCTTCCTTAGATCGCAGCCCCGAGTGAAAACTGCTCTTGATGTGCATCCTGGGAAGGCACAACTCCATGTACCGTTCTTGTTCGGAATGCCATAGGATCGAAGGTCTGGCGATGATGGAGAAAGTGATCGCGAGAGGGCTGGTGGTGATGTCTCTGAGGGGACGTTGGAAGGAATGCCACGGCCTGTGGATGACGATGTAGAGTGCGATCTTGACGGTCGAGGTGCGCCAAAGGACTGTGAGAGCAGCGTTGAGTCATGCGCGAGCATCGGAGGAGATGCCATTCCAGAGAAGGATGGGTAAGAGTACGACGTTACTTGAGGTAACGGTATTGGCGAGGGTTGTGTCGACCAGAGTGCGTGGGGTGGGTATGGGGAGTCCATGACCGGTCTGTAGTCTTGTGGTGGTGTGTACATTGCTGTGTGTCCTGACATGGTCGTTGATGGTCGGTGTGCCATGTGGTGTAAGGGTGGTGAGTACATGATGCTGGGAGGTGATTGACATGTGCTGGAGGGGTACAAGTGACCCATGCCGTCATCTGGCGCCATGAGCGCTAGTTCTGCTTCGGAAGAAAAGAAGGTCATCATGGGTAGGGCGAGGTGGTGTAGTGTTCAAGAGTGGTTTGCAGTATTGCGGAAGTATATCAAGAAGGGATATCTGGCGGTCGTTAAATGGCCGCAAATCGAAGCCAACGCGGGTTGTATATCATGCAAAGAATAGGCCAGTGCGTCTAAGCGGGAAGTCCAACAGATGGGTGAGGATGACCAGTCTTAAGGCACAGACCCAAACTCTAGGGATTAGGGTATGGTAAGGCTGCTAGTCCGGGGTGTACAGGATTAGCCCGGGAGCGCACTAGGGGCCACTCCACAACGGTAAGGCTGGGGCGTGAGACTCGTCGAAAAAGCGTAGCGAGCAGTGGCGGTGTTGTGATGTCTTGCAGTGCCTGAAACTCCACTCGGCCCTGGAGGACGGCCTGAAAATGACCAAGTTAGAACTTGCAAAATGCTGAGCGGTCGACCATGTGGCATATACTCCTCGAGGTAGATCCGGGGCGCAGGCGAAGCTTGTAATGCTCTGCTGAAGGTTAGATGGCTCTGTCGGGTCAGATATCCGACTAGGGAGTAGTAGCTACTGCTTGTCATGACGGGACATGGGTAATTTGGCTAACGCTTGTTGCGCGCTCGTCCCAATGAGATACCGTCCCATAGTTCGTGGTCCCAGTTCAGACCAGGTGCATAATCCCTTCACAATTGCGGTGGAGAGCGAGTGAGCCTCGCGGGCCGGCTAGCTAATCCTTGTGGGTGAAGGTACCGCCAACATGGCGACCGCACCGCTCTAGCGCTGGTCTGAGGAGTGGCCTACTAGGGCTAGTCTACTGGGAAAGCTTCATCCATTTCGCACTCGCTTGTGAACGACCCGTTAAGGAAATAATGCGATACCTAGCCAACGGCTAACAGCGCTTCGGTTGCCAGCATTTAATGGGATCGTCTCATCTCCAGGCTTTGGTGAACATGGTATCTCGAGGCCGACATAGCGATGAGTGCTGAGCGCGACCACAACGAAAGCCACACTTTGGACTACGCCTAGTCCTACGGGCTGTTGGACCGACACCAGAGGCGGTAACAGATGAGGGGCAAAGGCGCGCTCTCCATGGCTTTGGCCTGCCGATCGCAGCATGGTAGGATAGCGACGAAAATGAGTCGCTTACGCCGGCAAAAAATTTGGGCGTAGCGCATGGGGGGTACGCCCCGCGCTACTCTTGGGCCGGGAGCCGTGAGATATTTATAACCCCTGCAGCATTGAGCCCTGCGAGCAACATACTATGGTACAATCAAGAAATTATAGGGCAGGGTCTGAGTAAGCGACGTTTCAAGCGGTCTGTCAAATGGTCCAGTGTCTGCGGATAATTCTACTTAGTATTCACCGGCATTCTCCCCCCAGTAACAATGTCGCAACCTGTGACGGGCGGCCAGTGTTTGCCAAGACAGCTCCTGACAACAACGGTTTGATTACTTTCCGAATCACGACTCGTCCTGGTCAACTAGCTCAGCTGCGTAGCATGCAGTGAGCCTGTTGTTTTTGACATGGCTAAAGGGCGAAGGACGAAACATGACCAACGAGCGTGAGGGATGAGTAGATGGATCCACATGCTGGCCAAAGCCAACGACAGTTTTCGAAGCGCCCGTTGTTCCAAAGCGGTTAAACTTGGTCTGGAAATGCTAGTACATTGTTGTACCTGATCGAGCTTTTTGGTGACAATGAGGTACACCGCGTTGTCTTCGGACCGTCGGACATACGCCATTTTGTCCGAGACTTGCGTATACACTTCGGAGCAAACGGTGGTAATGCAGACTCGGAGAACTTCTTCCCTAATCATGAAGGGAGTTCAACTGTCAAAAGTCGGATGGCCCCATTTCAACACGGGTAACGCCCGTGCAATAATGGCATATCCAGGCGCCACCCGGGTTGTACCGTTAGCAGCAGTCAGCATGCGTTGCCTGGCGCTTCTGCAATATCTACTAGATACACTGTAGGTATACTCGATCGAAACATGGTTGGGTGTGAAGAAAGGCAATACAGACACTGTATGACTCTATGTAATGCCCCCTTCAAACAAAGGAGAAGCCCTGAGAGATTAAATCGCTTTCGCTGGCCAGCAATCGCAGGAGGTTTGGGTATAATGCGTTGCAAGAGATGACAAATGTCTCCTGTGATGGATGGCTAGCACCTTACTCGAAGAACGCCTTCCATCCTTGATCCCACCTTCCGCCAAGTGACTGACGGTTAAAGTCAGGAGCTTGCGTTGCGCTACACGTGCAACTCTTTCGATCCTCCGGAGAGTTCCTTCGTCACTTGCATAGGTAGCTTTGTTGCCTAGTGATGTGACAACGCAAGAGACATTGCCACCTATGGCCGCGCACCGGCGCTGCCTATGACCCTGAATGGACCAAACACCAACAGCTCGTATGTTAGCTGGCTCGCAAGCGCTCGGAAATGAACAGCCCCCCACCAATGCACTGCGTCTCAAGCTGAGCGAATCCAACATTCATTAAATTGATGATTCTTGCTCATCCACTCACGCTATGCTGTAATTAAGAGTGCAAATGGGAGCATCGCACACTAGGGCGAGGCAGATTTCGTATCCAAGGAAGAATCAAATATCATTTCAGTAAAATTAAGGCCGACCGGAGACTCTGGAAGGTCGAAAACATCTTCTAGCATCTAACTGCCACATACCCCTTCTTCTGAGCAAGGGAAACTGGCTCAACCTGTCATCCAATGCCATCACTGCATTAATGACGATATCCACTACAATCGATCTAAGAGGCGATGATTAACATACATGTAAATGAAGGATTCGATCCGTTCTCAGGCTTCCTACCACCACTTTTCTTTGAGAGTCATGCGTAAGTGATATCAATGTTTCCAGATCCCATGTTCGAACAGTGTGATATCGGTCCGAAGCCGATCATAAACTGAGTCTAACCGCTTCGAGGATCCGATACGATTGGACGGTACTGTAGACCTACAAGGGGGGTATACAACGGTTCTGTATCGGCGCGGTCGGCTTAGGCGACCCCAGAAATGCCGAGTATCCTCGTACGTTAGGCATCGAGACCTAACGTCCCGCATCGGTGACATGCAACGGGCCATGGGAGCTTCGTCCAGTACTCAACAACGGCAACACCCGAAGGCATCTACGGCAGCTGCTGCAGCCACAAAACCAAAGCGCTGGAGTCACACATCTGCCAGTATATCATTGGCCGTTATAAGGAACATTAATGCCTGTGCCGTCATCGTTACCTCCAAACTTGATACGATCGAACTAGCAGAGCATCTTCTGTCATTAATTTCGAAAGCATCTAAAATTAGGCATCGCGAAATCGCTGAAGATGTCATTTCAAAGGTCGTGAGAGATCGGAAAGAATGTCGAGGTGAAACGTGGCAGTGTATGTCTTACACAGCCTCAATCGCCCACCTACAGATCTGCAATCGCCGACCTGCGGACCACCAAACGCCGACCCACGAATTCCCCAGCATTCATCTCCACGCTGAGTATGACGCTAGGAATATTTCCTGCATGGGTCGGCGGATTTGCGATCAGACGTCACGGCTGCGTCGTCCCAGTGGATAAACCAGAATAAGCAGCAATGATGCGGGAGGCCTAAGGTGCGAATTGCAAAATCAAATCGCAGGGTGCCTGAACACACAGCCTTGGATCTGTAATTAAACTACGAAGAACACTGTTTAGAGGCTGTGTTCATGCTTCTTTCCAGGACTAAGTTGAGTCAAATTCCAGCGTCTGAGAGACATGGACCACATGCGAGGCGGACAAAGTGAATCAAATATGGTGGTTCAGTGAGTCACTATTTTTGGACGACATTGAACACGGAGCAATTCTTGCGATAGTCAGGATCTGAATTATAGCATGACTTGAGGCGAGCAGTATTTGTAAGCTTGAGACAAGATCCGCGATGCCAAAGTACTCGACTGCGATCTTCGTTGATACGTACAGCTGCTCATTGCTCTCAGTACATGAGCTGCATCTTTAGAAGCAACTTCTCTCGAGGGTCAATGTTAATCTAGGCATGTCATCTTCCTGCCGTTGTCCATTCTTTCACCTGTCGGATGTCCATAACCTTCCCATCAGCACCATATCTCCCTTGCGCGTCCCACCAATCCCTCTTGACGCACAGCTCCGGTCGCCATCTCATCGCCTTTCTCATTTTTTCTTCGCTCTTATCTTCTAATAAATCTGCAACTAGAAAGCCAATTGCAGGACATGCCATAAAACCGTTTCCGGAGCCTCCAACTGCTACAGTCAGGTGCTGCAGATCGGGGTGCTTGTCGATGAGAAAGATACGGTCAACAGTATCTGCGTCCCAGCACATACGTGCGAAGCTGAAGTCCCTTTCTGCAAACTGTGGCAATGTCTCAGAAAGAAGAAGACGCATACGTGATGCTGCTTCTTTAGGAATTTGTTGGCGCGGGAATGGGATGGAATGCATCTCTCCATTATCATCGATAACAGGGTTGATGTATCCTGGATGTTCATCACAGAGCTTCATTTCATGTCCCTCAACATCCGGTTCAATAAAAAAACCTCGATCCACACCATAGAGGACAGGTAAGTTCCGGCATTGCTCTGCTTCTTCGGCGGAGAGTGGGATGTGTGCGAGTGTCCACGCTGTGGGTCGAAGCTGTCGCTCGAAGTCTAGGAGTAGGTCGCTGTTCGCACCAGCCGACAAGATGGTTTGCTGAGCCTTATGCTCTACACCGTCTGTGGTCCTCGCCCCCAGCACTGCGTTCTTGTCTGGACTATAAAGGAGCTCGCCAACCCTTCCTTCCATGCTACCAGTCACAAAATACACGCCCAATCTAACAGCCTCTTTATGCATAGCCTCTAAAGCCCCACTAGCGAACATCCACCCTGCAGCTTCCTTCTTCCAAAAGCCCCGCCAGCCTGGGAAACCACCTTGAAGCACTCCTTTGGGCATTGTCCTTTGGAAATCATGCTTTGTGTTCAAGGCCACAGGAAGTGTCTTCTCGCCTTTGGCATACTCTATACATCGCTCAAATGCTTCATCGCCCACAGCGGCCATGATAAAACCGGTGTCGTGGTAGAAAGGCGAGAACAGGGGATCCGTTTTCCATGCTTGCATCGCAAGCTGGGTCAGCCGGTTCCAGAAGAAATCTTGTTCGGAGTCGGACTCGGACGGCTCGTTGCTCTCTTCCGCGATCTTGTTGAGATCTTTGCCGGCAGAAATGGCAGAGGGAAATGGGTTGCCGTCAACGACTTTGATGGAGGTATGACCACGGCGAGCGAGCTCGAGGGCAATGGAGCACCCCCATGTTCCAGCGCCTATAATAAGGAAGTCGCTACTCGTCTCCAGCATGATGAAAACGTGAGGTGGTGTATATAAGCTGCGCTGGAGGCCTCATTGTGTGTGTTCTTGCTGGCGCCACCTTCCACTTTGAGACCCCCGCGCCAGAATCTGGCGGGAAAGGCGTCATCGACTGACGATGCTGAGCTCGTCCGATGCTCATGTTTCAATTGCACCTACCTAGGCGACTACGGCATTCATGACGCTCTCGCCGAGCTGGAGCCGCAAAACGCGTGAGCACGTGGAGATGGGCACGCTATCTCAAAACGGCCAGGATCCCCGCGGCGAAACTTGTTCGACGTCACTTTCAGGCCAGAGCAACAACCTCGCGCGCCTTGATGTTCCGCATACACCCTGTGATACCGCGCAATACCTGGCGAGTGAATACAGTCGCCAGACAATGGAACCAGGCACGACTAGCTGCCACGGCGGCGGCCACGGCGGCGGCCACTCCTAAGGTCAGGCGCGTTAGCAGGGAGAAATACTGGAGCGACGAGAAACTATCAATAAGCCACAAATATCCATTGAGCCTAGCTGTCGCGAAGGTAATACACCCTGACAACGAGGTCAAAACGAGGAGGAAGAAAACGCGAAATGAAAAGAAAGCGGTAATACCGGGAGGCATCCACGTCAGAACACAGATCGTAAGTCCTGACCTATGCGGTACGTCAAGTCCCGAATGTATCTTCATAGAGGCCAACTGACAAGAGTTACTGCCAGACGACGTACTCAAATATGTTGGTCACGAGTTAGACAGGTACAAAGGTTGCGACATCCTCGATATCAATCCTGGCGCTGGGCTCTGGTCGCAAAAGCTGCACCAATACCTCCAACCGCGAAGCCACGTGCTCCTCGAGCAACGCCATGACAAGTTCAAGGAATTCCTCGACCCTCTCCTCACGGCGCCTGGCTCCAAGTACTCGCTCGTCGACGGAGATCCAACCGTACTGCAGACATACCGCGACTTGGTGACAAATGGCGTATTCCCGTATCAGACCGTGCTGAATGCCGACGACCCCCGAGCACAGGAGCCAAACAACACGCTGCTAGTTACAGGCTCCCTCGTCTGGGACCCAACACTCCCCGGTCTTGGCTTCGACTCGATGGCGAAACAGCTCGCCTACCACTTCAGCTCCGCCGCATGGGCGAATGACCTGTTCCATGCCTTTGGACTCGTGCGCACATTATTCTGGGTACAAAACAATGATTACGCTTCAATTATTCCCGACTCTGTCGGTATATTGCAGAAGACGACTCGTATCATGGAGATGACACAGAACATGAAACTCTTTGTGACCGCAGAGCGCGCCCCGCGCAACAAGGGCAGAGCTTCTTCGGGCCGTAACCCGCAATATGAGATTGAGACTACCGTCCGTGCTATGGCGAATGGAAGGAATCACGGCATAGAACTTCCACCACACCGACGCGACAACATTCATGATTTTGCTACAGATATTGAGCGAACATCCAACGGCACAGGTATAGTCAGCTATTCTGAAATGGAGGAATATCTCCGCGACCAACACCTAGCCGGCAAGAGCGCCGTTGGTCTGCTTCCCTTGGGCACCATCGAAAACTACGAAGCATTGAAAGATATTGCGGAGAAGCATCCGGAATTAGAATTATTTGTGCCAGCAGAGGAAGCCGGTACAAGGAAAAAAAGACGAAAAGTACCTGTTGATCACCCTTACAAGGACAAGATGAGAATTGCGCACAGCTTCTTCGCTTCTCAGCACCAGGCATATAAAAACAAATCGCTGGCATCGGCCATTGCAGACACTGGCGAAGAAATTTACAGGCTCGAATGCGAGATCCTCGGCATGCAGGATGGCCTTGAGAAGGATTCAGCAATGGCTAGGTTAGCCGAGCTGAACACGAAGTGGGATCAGGGCATTCAAAGTCAGAACGCAAACTACGCCATGGCATCCGTAGCAGAACTCGATGACCGTATCTCCATACGATCGCCATGTTCCTTCCACTTACAATGGGACACCCGCCCTTACGAACCTTTCGTGATGCGCAACGATGAAGTCTGGCCTCAGAATCGCCTGTCCCTTGTCTTCTCCGAACCCACTCCCAAGCCCGTTTCCAAATTCCCCGACTTCCACAAATGGGTAATAGACTTTATGTTCGGACTTTTCGCAAATCCCAAAGATGGTGTCAATGCTGCCCTCGACAGGATGCAGCACGGACTGAGCGATATTATAAACGAGTGCCCTACCTTGAAGGACCCGGAAAAGGGTGGCCGATTGCAAATGGAACATCTTAGGGTGAGGATGCTGACGGATGAGATGATCATCGAGCTTGTGAAAGCGTACAAAGATTGGCCGTTCAAGGCGCCGGGCAGTGATCATAGTGCTTACTTTAAAAACAAGCATTTAGAATCTGCGACCGCTGGGTTTCATGCACCAGAGTCTCTTTAGAATATATTACTGAACTTCAGAATCTGTCAACTGTTCTTTTCACGAATGAAGAAGACAACACAATCGAAATGAATGCTCAGGACGTGTGGAGTGTTATTGACGTACGGAGGCTATGACGTAAGGAGGCTAAGAGATGTGACGATTTGGAAAGAAACACGTACGCAGCGGCAGACTATTCCCATTGCATGGTGAGGAAGATAAACGACTTTGAGGAAATCGGTATCAAGGTGACTTGCTTTCTCTCGAGCTCTAGCAATGCAGACTCAAAGATCTAGCATGCGACGATGGTGGTCGGGGTGAATATGAGGCTGCTGTAAGTTAGCATGGATTCTGTCAATAGATCTGACTTAGGCATGACCGACGGCGGTGTGAGTTCTGTGCTATCTGGACTACTCAGACTTTGTGATGCCATCAGTGTAGAAAAGCTCTGGTACAGCCTTTGGGGAACTCCAGAAGATGAACTGTTGGCGCAATGGAAGCGCTCTCCCTACTCACCATTGAAGCCAGAATGAGCAGAGCAGAAGAGAATGACATATCGTGGTTCAATTCGATTAACTCAGTATCCAGGTAATCGTTTTAACACTCGAGAGTCAAGATCTAGTTCTGAGCACTTTATTCCCAACTCTGAGTGATGTCATCGTGAACCTTGTCATCTATCGTTTCGGTATCTCATCCTTCAGGTAAGCCCAAGATGCGCACATAACTGTGACGAAACTTCTACAGGAATAGAAGTGTCCTATTGCGGGAGTCGCGGTAGACTTTCTCGGAAATTCCAGTGATCCATTACGCGAGGTATGAACATGACTTCTAAATCGAGCATGCGGCCAGACTTCTCCGTTAGCATCGCGATGATAGGACTTAGAGCATCTATGAGCATGTTTCTCGTAGCATTATAGTCTCCTCCTAGTATGCGCATGTTGAATGGAGGAAGATCAGTGTTGCGCGTCCCTTGATAGTCTCGTCCGAAAGCTGGAATTGCGGGCTGCTTCACGATTTCGACAGCTCCAGATGCTGTACATCAGGACGCAATGACGGTGTCCATGGTGGACGTAAGGCCGAAGGGATATTGTACTCCGGGATGTAGTCCATGTAGATAGCCGCTGCTTTCTGTTAGATCTTCTCGATAGGCTTCGATGGAATAGTACGCCTCTACGTTGGCTGGGTCCATGACTGCGTTCTGTATTCTGAGATTGAATAGAGTCCAAGTCAAGATAAGAGTAAAGAGTAGTGTGTGATGTCTCATCTTGAGTAACGTAGTTGCGACTTGCCAAGCTAGTAGACTTGGTACCACAACTAAGTACGTCGAGCGGCGATTATGTGACGAAATAAGATCTCTTGCCTTTGGGTCTCGATCATGTGGTACATAGCTCTAAATTGCTTGTCTATGTAGAACTGGAAATCCGGATCGAGTGTGAGCGTATTTTCACCGTATCCTGGGGTTTCTCGCCAGAGTGGTATAGTTAGGCTACTGTCCTTCTAAGAAACCGCGTTTGTCAGGTACTGTGGATCAGCACCCACGGCACGCGCAACACGCCCCTGAACTTCCCATGAGTTTCTTTCGGGGATAGGTCTTCTGGTTGAATGCCACCATCGTTCGGCCACGCTATGGAAATACGCGGGTAGATCTCGTCGTGACTGTGCATAGCAGCTTTCGCGTCTTCGTATCATCGTTGCAATAGGTCAAAATGTCAGTGGCTCTGAGGCACTAGTAGATTCTAATTTTGGTAGGCCCCACACACTGCAGCGTCATCGCAAACACACTTTCCTGATGATTGTTGATAGATGAAAAGCAAGCCGAATGTTCGGCGCAAGCCGTCGCCGAAGGCCCTTGGCCTCGTGTACCACACAAGCAGCAGGCTTGCATTTGACAGCGTCCACGATCTGAGTGGAGACGATCTGGCTTTTTTCCGATACAAGAGCTGCGGAATGTCTAGCGGCAGCGCCCGTCGGAATTCAAGGGGAATAAATTGATGGTGTGGCATTACTGCAGGAATCGATGTACAGGGTATGAGGTGATTTAGACGCGTCATTGAAGCGCCAGACATCCAACGTCGCCGATATGCAACTCGGAACAAGGTGACTCGGATGAGATATCGACGCCACCTCAGGAGTGTATCTCGGTGGTGTTGGTGGATGGATCCAAAGAGGTGAGAGAACACGAAAAGGGTAGACATGGACTGGGCGGAACTAACGACGCTAGTGGATGAAACAAGCCTAGCCTCTTTTTCCTTGTTCAATGGCTTCGACGCGACCTTCCCAGCTACCATCATCACATCACCCCCACTCTCGCGCTTGATCTGGCATTAAAAAAAATGTCCGGAGCAGACAACAACCCAAGGAAGCGGAAAGCTGAGCCTCGCGAACGGCAAGATGGCGACGAGAAAAGAGCTAAGGTAAGTCCTTTTCTTCGTGCGACTTTTAAAACTCCGACCGTCCTTGCAGTCTTGGCCTTACAGGTCTATTTTCGTCATGCAGCTGCTGCCGTGATCTTTATCAGGCTGATGTAAGACCTCAGGGCAAAAGAAACTGGGATATGCCCCGTAGGGGTGGGATCCAATCTCGTGCTATCAAGCCCGGTGATGCGGGCATATGGGCAACATGCGCTATGAAGAAGGAAGCAAAATCCGTCTCTGACCTTCGAGATTTGTTCCAAGAGGTAAGAAAAACCTTGATATGGCACTGTGATCGAGTTGTACGACCGAGGATGCTGATTGGTGGCAGTACGCTACTACGCTGTATGGCACGGCCGAGTCCAATGGCACGGCTGCACAGGACAGCTCTGATTCCGAAGGAGGTGATATTGAAGCTGAGATCAACAAAGAGCTCGCCGATATCCGCAAGCCGACCACAAAGCCATTGTTCACATCCCTCAAGCTCGATACCCAATGCTGTAAGGGTTGCCAACCATGCTTATGACAATTCATGCTGACCAATCCAAGTGATGTTCTTCAGGACACGCTCACCTATCGAACCTGTCACGTTTGTTCACAAGATCTGTCAGGACATTGCAAATGGCGCACAGCCAAAGAACTTACGTTACGTCAAGCGACTAACACCTATCACTGCAACCGATAAGGCTACTCCTCAGGGTCTTGAAGCTGTCGCGAAAGAAGTCCTCGCACCCCACTTTCATGGCGCAGGTCAAGTGGGGAAGAAGGTGAGTACAAGCTCCTTCTATTAGATGATGCAGCCTCGTCGTGCAAAGATCTTCGCTAATGCGCGTTGGCCCAAGTTTGCAATACGTCCATCGATACGCAACAACAAGGAGTTTTTGAGAGACGGTGTCATCAACACAATTGCAGCTGCGGTTGGTCCTGGGCACAAAGTCGACCTCAAAAATTATGATCTCCTTATTCTTGTAGAGATTTACAAGGTACGGTTATGCCCCCCTGTGGTAGTCACGCGTCTTAGCTGCACGGTGTGATGAAATTCTGGTAATTGCTTACGTCTGATAGAATATCTTGGGTATGAGCGTGGTTGGGCCTGACTTTGAGAAGCTCAAACGTTTCAACATTGAAGAGCTTCGTCAGCCATTGTCTTCTGTCAAACCAGAAACCGACGATCAGTTAGGAAAGATCAACAAAAACAATAGTGCCTGAGAAGGAGATGAACGGATGTGCTCCGTGGGGTAGCAGTCTCGTGGCTAGAACGCCCAGCGCAACATTGTCCACAAACCGAATAAACCTCCGATCGGGGCCACTATGGCTTGCATTGATGGTTATTCTTGTGGTGAAGCAGACGACTGGTGAAACATCGGAGGAGGTACAACAGCTATTCAGATGCTGACTTGAGACCCAGCGTTCTACTGCGACTCGTCTCCGATCTGTCGGGTGTATATTTTAGTGTTTGCACGGACCGCCACCATTATGACGGAAGGGCGTCGATGGTGTGGAAGCAGTTGACTGGCCAGGTCCTTGTAACAGATTGCGCCGAGCGAACGGAGGCCCCATACCAGCTTGACGTTGCGCTGATCACAACATTCCGCTCTTTCACACCACACTCATGTTCACGTGGTCACTTACCGTCTCTCAGGTTCCATCAGCATGTGCTATCGAGAGACGTTAATGATTGATGCATCATTGAACCTTGCCTCTGCATAGCCAATCATGACACGCGATAGGCGACATTCTTACCGGACGCCTAACCGCTTGTAGGTGCTCTTAACGAACGGTGAGAACGCCAGCCTGGACGCCTCTCGCGTCCTTCTCCGCGTCCTTCTCCGGCTTTGCTAGTCTTATTCGCTCAGAAAGAAGACGCTTGCCTACAAGCCCCGTACACGCATGAATGACTTTTGCTTTTCCGCTAAGCAGGGGATAAACGAGATGGTAGTCGAGGTGGCTTGTAGGATGATTGGAATTTGTAGAAGTGCTACTATGTGTCGACTGTGATGCGAATCGGTTTGGCCGAACGAAGGAAGTGGTTTCATCAACTGGAATTCAGCATACTCGGTCTTGCTCGGTCTGGCGTTACGATGCTTTTGCTTCCAGACGTCCATCGGAAAATCTGTTGCAACCAGATCGATCTATGTCGACACGATGTAAAAGGAACACTGTGAGAAGTTGTTCATGTAGCATCGGGTCATTCTTAATGCCTAGAGAGTCCCTGACATGCAGCAGTCCACAAGCTCCCGGCCTCCACTTTCGGATCACGCTAAGCCTCGCCTGAATTTAGTACATCGCTACCCAACTCTTCATAATGCATCTTCCCCCGCTGGATGTCGCAATCTATCCCCTCACCAGTATGAGCCGTGGTACGTATGCTCTAAAGCACGCTCGGCCCTCTTCGTCAACTTCATCATCTTCGTCGTCTTCATCAACATCTTCACATACTGCCATCACTACACTCGACTTTCCTAGCATACAGAGGGTGATCAGATCGGTGTTTCGATCCTCGAAAATCACTGTGCAGCAAGTTGAAGTTCTACAAAGATGCCTCCATCAAGTTTACCTCGCAAGACTAGAAGATGGTAGTTGTTTAATGCTTAAATGCCCACCACCTTACAACGTGCAACTCCTCCGGCACGAGAAACACTTCCTGGAAACGGAACGGAAGACGCTCGAGACATTACACGAGTACACACAAATACCTGTCCCTCAACTTATCAAGTATGACAGTCACGGCGGACCGCTCGGCACACCATTTCTCATGATGAGCCACATAGCCGGTCGCAAGCTTTCGGAATTTGCGCCATACCTTACAGCCAGCGAACGAAGTTCCATCGATCAAACACTGGGTATTTATGTCCGCGCTCTCACTACACTGTCAGCAACCCAATTCGGCATGACACACCGAGTCTTTGCCAAAAAGGGCAGCAATTCCTGGCGCGAGGCCTTCCTCGCTCTCCTCGAAGCCACAATCCGCGACGCGGAAGATATGCTCGTCAACGCACACTCTGAAAGCATACGATTCTGGGTCGGCAAGCACGCGCAATGCTTAGAAGATGTCATTGAGCCGCGTCTTGTGGCCTTAAACGTATGCGACCCGGAAAACGTGCTTATCGACGAGCGTACTAAGCAGGTCGCTGGTCTGGTTGGTTTCTCAAACGTCATCTGGGGCGATCCGCTGATGAGCGGCGGTATGGCGGATGGTAACGAAGCGTTCTTCGCCGGCTTAGGGGACTATCCGGTCAAGACTGCGAGTGCGAGGACCAGAATGCTCATGTGAGTGGTGGTGCGGGTAATTAGGGGGTCGCAGTACTAACCGTGATAGGTACAAAACTTACAGAGCCACAGTGCGAATTGTCGCACACCACTACCGGCCGCATGACGGCATTGATGAACTTGGTGCGAGGCGAGAGTTGAGCTATGCGCTCAACGACCTTGCAGCCATCTAGGCTATAGTAGCTTAGAAGGCCTAGAATGGCATTATATTTCTCTTCGTGCTTTGCATCAAGCGGGTCAGGTATTAAACAAACATACATGGCGCTACAGGAGTGCCCTAGATGTATGGGTACTGTATTTTTTTTTAAATCCGGAAAGAGTTTGGGCTTCAGGGCGTAGAGCGTCTCTTTCTTGCACTATGAATGATTGGGGATAGCCAGAAGAGTAGTCGCTGCAGACCATTGACATTGATGGACTGTTTGCGGCTAGGTGTAGCGAGCGGTGTAACATCGCTGTGTGCCATTACTGAACGCCTGGATTAGTTACGAAGGGGCGTAAAGTGCTGGGTTTCACCGCATAAGAATGAGCTTTTTGCAAGCTTACATTGTGTATTATACTCCCTCCACAATATGAGTTTCACTCCTACTAGACGATACAATCATACCGTCCGTCGTTTACGCGTGTCTTTGCTCATTGATTGATACTTGTCGCGTGAGCTAGTGACTGGAGAGGGAAGAAAGTGGATATAGTTACCGTCTTGAATTTGTCGTAAATGTTATTACTTCGCCTAATGACGCGACCGTACAGCAACTGGGGTAGGCGAATGTTGTGATTCGAAGCAACATCGCGGTGTCATAAGCCGCTCAGCCCCAGAAACGTGCATAGACACATAGAGAATGTAACGTTCTACCTCGATACCCATAAGTACTAATTTGCGGAGTGGGTCGAGCTACTGTGCCGCCCTTGGCCATGGATCATAAGTGCTGACGACCCATAGCCTACAATTTCCATACATGCCATGCATCGTCTACCCTTGCCAACACATGCGTGTCCACTGCCTACTCTAATGCTCCATCTCGCTCACCCCTGTTTCTGGAATCGATTAGTGGTAATCTGTGGAAGCACATCCGCCAATCATCTACGTCAAAGCTCGCTAGATAACGCCTCATCTGGAGTAGTGCGAGGGAGGGGTAGGCGAAGATAGACGACACATGGCGGGCCGATGTTCTTCGGAGTTGCACGTTCGTAGCTTCTCGCTACTTTTGTAGGAGATGGGCAAGAGCAGCTTAGCGTGAACAGAGTGGGTGATGACGAGGCTGTAAGCCCTAAGGACAACTGTAATTCAGGTCTTTCCAATCGTGTGACGAGTCTGTGTTCACCTGCCTTTCTATATAGATTCGGTGTCTCGTTCGCTTATTGTCATGTGCAGAGTTTACTTGTGAAGAATGACTACAGGATTCAAAGGAGGGAGATGGCCTTCAGTTTCGGAGTACGACAAGCGCCTGGTGGCGAGGAAGATAACATGGCTCGAGTTGCCACTTCCCGAAACACGGCTTGAAGGATGATGTTTCGGAGCGACACTTGATAAGACATGCGCCAAATAGTTGTCATTACCATGAGTTTACAGTTTCGCGTCAAGCCGAGTTGAGCCTTTTAGCGCATCGTCGATAGTAGACATAGCCTGGACAAGTTTTTCTTCTTGCAACCTTGGTGCAACGACTTGTACGCAAAGTGGTGTTCCAAGGTAGATCGATCGATCGAAGTCAGCCCCTAAAGAAAATGTTAGCCATGCAGCAACTCGGTGTGCTTTCAGCACCTGCCAGTCAAGCGGCACTACTTACAAAGCTCTCTATTTGCCTTATCCCAGCTGCCTAATGGCTTTGTGTCCGCCATCTCTCCCTCCATATCTGCCGTTCCGAATGATCTTACTGGCACAACACCCGCCGGGTAATCCAACAGCACGAAGGAGCTAGTGTAACTAACACCGTTGTAGCGGTCAATGGGCGGCACAGGATGTGGCGCAACAGGACAGATAAAGGCATCTATCTCGCCATGCTGGTCTTTCCAGATCTGCAAAAACTTCTTTCGTAACTGCTCACGTTTACCGTGGAGTTGCTGGACTTTGGGAAGCTCCATGGCTTTCTTACGCTTGAGCCGTGTGGATAACCAAGGTGAGAGAGGCTCTTTGAAGGACTCCAGGATATCGAACATTGCGTTTCCGCCCTCAACACCAAAAAGTGCGTTAGCGAGAGATTGGCATTGTGAGAAAAGTGGCGTAATATCCATCTCAACTACCTCAGTTCCGGACTTCTTCAATTTGTCTTTGACTTCATCTAAGATGTTCAGGATTGGAGGATGCGGTTCGATGACTCCATCTCTTCTGACGACACCAATTCTCAACTTCTTTCGTGTTGTGGACAAGAAAGACCATGGTGATGGCACGACATCCGGGTCCATTCCCCAGGGTTGCTGTGTTGATACTGCGGAGAAGAAGAGTTCGACGTCGCGCATAGTGTGGGCGAGCGGCCCAGCACTGGCTGGAATACCAATTTTCGTCGCTCCAGGCAGCATACCACCCTCTTGGCCGGCGTAGGGTATGCGTTCCCAGCTAGGTTTGATACCAAAGGTTCCATCGCACATGGCTGGTATCCTAATACTACCGCCAACATCTGTACCCACACCTAATACCGAGCCGCGCATTGCGATCAATGCTCCTTCTCCCCCTGAACTTCCGCCAGCGGTTACAGCGGTATTGAGTGGGTTGATAGTGCGCCCAAAGACATTGTTGTGGGAGTCCAGAGCCATGAGCGTCTGGGGTACATTTGTCTTACAGTACAAGACTGCTCCAGCGCCCAGCAAGCAATCGACGAGGACTGAGTTTTCTTCCGCTGGCTTGAAGCAAAGGGCTGCGAGACCAATAGAAGCATCGTAACCACGCACTCTAAACGTATCTTTGAGAGAGACAGGCACACCGTGCAGAGGTCCAAGAGGTGCTTTTCCTGATGCTAGATGGTCGTCAAGTTCCGAAGCTCTCTTCAGCGCATCATCAAAGAAGACCTCCGTAAGGCAATTTGTGAGTTGATGGGCAATTGCCGCTCTCTGTTTCAATGTCAGACACTAATAGGCGATGCCGATTGCAGATTCAGTAAGAAAAGACATACTTTACAAAAGGCTCTCGTTACATCAATGCACATTAGTTTCCTGGCCTTGATCGCTTCGGCCAGCGCGACAGCATCGTAATTTTCGGTGATGTCCAATTCCTTCTTGGTTAGAATCCCGGACTTGTGTGGTATATCCGTATAGCTCTTGACATTGGCCTCGGGTAAGCTGCTCAGCTTCCACTCCTTTGGTATGCGTCCATCTTGTTCTTCCTTCTTCCGTTTTGATACAAACTGCCAATCGGCCTTGAATGATAAACTTTCCTGAGACATTGCGATGCTTGAGTGTGTCGAAGACGGGCGTCGTGATGTCGCGGAGATGGTGAATGCTAGGGTAGAAGCCGAGGTATGCCACGAACGGACTAGTGCCTTGAGGGGTAGGGAACAGTGATTGCTGACTCTCAGAGCATCATCGACTGGAGGCATCCGAGCAGACAATTCTACGCTAAAGCAGCGCTTCTCGGCGCAAGCTGTACCATACCTTCCTACCACTCTTCTCATGGAACAGACTCTTAGTTCAGGAAAGATGTCGTCAGGTACCAAAACCTGATTGCGTAAGTAGCAGGCTGGAATACTTAGCCAAAGACGGCAGGACGCCTCCTTGCGCTAGGGAAATGAAGCGTACCAAGGGGATGTTGAGAGGATGAGATAAGGACCGCAAAGTCACTGCCACGGTTGGCATCATGCTATGTAGGAAACGGTCACATGTTTACGTGCTTCACATGGATTTTAGTCTGCTGACATCTGACATGACGGGGAGTCGCGATCGCGTCTGTAATCCCTGTTGCCGTCAATTGAGGGCGCGCCACAAGCGTCTCCTGCCAGCTGCCCCGGAATATTTTCCCGCTTGGCCCTGGCTGGCACCGCGACGCACGCCGTGCCCCCATTGCTAGTAGCCCACCCATTGATACACGTTGCTTCTGTACTCCTCTCTCTTCTTCACTCTTACATCGCTTTGTTACCTTGTTGTCTAATTGCATACTCGCATCTTTCGCCATGGCCGCCGGTAACTTCTCACTGCCTCCGGGGCAGCACCCTTACTACCCCATTGAGAAGGAGATTGTGGGCTACCTGGCCAACAAATGGGGCACGCTGGACCTGCTGCTCATGTTCGCTGCTGGATGTGTCGCCATCTTCAGCGTCACGTATGTCATGGTTAAGCGCCTGCGCCCCAATGCCAGCACCGGCGACCTTTCCACCATCATGTGGTTTGTGCTATGCGGCTGCATCCACTCGTTCTTCGAGGGCTACTTTGCCTACAACTTCAGGAACATGGGCGGATTGAACGATCTTTTTGGACAGCTGTGGAAGGAGTATGCGCTGAGTGACTCGCGTTACTTGACCCAGGACGCTTTCGTTCTGTGCATGGAGACTGTCACCGCTGTACGTACACACCGCTCCTCCCATGGCCCCAGAGCCCGACTGCAGTGACTAACGCACAACCTCACAGGTTTTCTGGGGCCCAGGTTCCTTCCTCTGCGCCTATCTCATCTCAATTGACCACCCCCTCCGCTACTCGGCTCAGCTCATCGTCTCGCTTGGTCAGTTCTACGGCGACGTTCTGTACTATGCTACATCGCTTTTCGACCACTACATCCTCAACCTCTCATACTCGCGTCCTGAACAGTTCTACTACTGGGGCTACTTTGTCTTGATGAACGCTTTCTGGATCGTTATCCCTGGATACCTCATGTACCAGAGCGTCATGGCTACATGGAGCGCTTTTGCGGCTGTCAACGATGCGGCAAGGCTTGTTGAGAAGATGGGCAAGAAGCGCAACTAGCAGAATGCTCCGTGTATCAGGCTTGTCGACACGGCTTCCGCGGACAGAAAATTACCACCGTCGGAGTGGAGGCGTGCTGGGATGGAAGTTGTTATTACTATGGATTGAATGTTGGGATGGACTGCAAAAGTATTCTGGACACGATACAGGGACGCTATTTTGATACCCTAGATTTGAACGCGCATCTTGGTTCGAAGGCGCTTGATCGATAGGCTTGGATAATGCTAATAGAAGAATATGGCAACTAGATCCACAAAAGGAGAACTACCGTTCTGCTATCTGACTCTGCGCGTGTAACCCCGAAAGTGCCGATCACTCGACTTAGTTTTTACCCTAATATCGGCTTTTCGCGCGTCGTAAGCACGACCCTTGCCGCACATCACAAACAAGCCGTATACATAAGCTCTCGACAAGGTCTCCGACCTATTGGGCATGCTAGTTTCGGGCGGTAAACCTTGATATTCACAGCCATGCATCCATCAAACGCTTTCTTCGCACACTTGTGCCTCCTCGCCTCTTCAGCCGCAGCCCTACCCAAGACCGGCAGCCATGCTTCTCATCCTCTCTCCCTTCAGATGGCTCAATCGGTCATTTCTCGGAACCAGGGTATCCTGGCCAGCCAAACAGACTCTTCTGCGCTTCTGCAAGCCCGGTTCGTTCAGAAGACGTTCCATCAAATCCTCTCCACCTATCCAAACGCCTCACTAGCACCGACGCTCGATGCTTATATCACCAAAAGTGTCGATTCCGTAGTTCCTGTCGTCTCTAATGCCACACGCGATACTACATATCCCTTGGATCGTCTAAGTAGCGGGAACAGTTTACTACAACTATGGCAGGAAAGCGGAGAAGAGAAGTACAGAATAGCAGTCGAAGCACTAAGGCAAAGTGTGGACTTGCAGCCTAGAAATAACCAAGGAGGACTGTGGTATTACGTCTATCCGTACTGGAGTTACCTGGATGGCATGTTCAGCCTTACTCCGTTCCTTGCGGCATATACCAATGATCTTGGCAACAGCTCCACAACAGAGACTGCACTAGAGGATATGGTCCTCCAACTCGACTTGCTATGGCAACACTGTTACTTTGAAAAGACTGGTCTTCTTGTGCACGGCTACGACGCTTCTCGCACGGCAGTGTGGGCCAACAACGTCACGGGCGCAAGCCCACATGTATGGGGACGCAGTCTAGGATGGTATTGTATGGCGCTCGTCGACACGCTTGAATTGCTGCCTCTTGCCGCCACTCATACACGGCGATACATCGAAACACGTTTCCAGCAACTCATGCCTGCCGTTGTTGAGGCAGCGGACGCGAAGACAGGGGCTTGGTGGCAGGTGATGGACAAGCCTGATCAAGAGGGGAATTATCTGGAGAGTAGTGCGAGTAGCATGTTCGTGTACGCTTTGCTCAAGGGCGTGAGGATGGGATTGTTGCCCACGCATGCGATGTCGAATGGCACTGTGGAAGTTGCAAAGAGGGCGTACGCCTACATGGTCGATAGCTTTGTCGTGCATAACGGGAACGGGACGTTGGGTTGGAATGGCACGGTTGGGGTGTGTAGCTTGAACTCGACGGCTAGCTACGAGGTAAGTGATGGCAAGCCGCAGGAGTCCAAGTGGATGCTAATGAGGTGTCATAGTACTATGTGGGGCAGCCGATTGTCTACAACAGCGTGTTGGTATCAGCGGCCTTTGTGCGCGCGAGCTTGGAAGTTGAGAGATTGAGCATTTAGCGTGGTGAGGACATGTGATTTTGGCGGTCCTGGCGGGCACAAAAGCAATTGTAGGACAGAAGATTAAAATAAACATGGTGATTGACCCCACGCAAAAACCTCCGGGATCAGTATCATGGGTAATTTGACCAGGCCTTGGTACACGGCGAAGGCATGCGTGGCATAAATCCACAAAACCTGTTGTTGTTCTTGCAGCGTTGTATTGCCAGGGGTGTCTTTGACTAAGAAAATGGCGGGGTTGGTCCGCAAGGCAGTGACCATGGCGAAGTTCGCAGGTATCTTGGATGTAGTTGTAATGGCAGCGGATGTGCAGCATGGGTTCGATGATGGAATCGTGCGTCGACGTGGTGTGCACAGCTGCTTAGGCGAGCATGGCCTTGATGGATGTTCCCGAGGGATAGCCCAACCTCACTGGGGTGCGAGATAGCAATGTCTCAGCCGGCATGTAAACAAGAGGCTGGAGAGGCCCGGACTCGACGTCGTCTAGACCAAGAGGCTGCATAGGAAGTTTATGCTGATGGCACAAGCACCATCGGCTTATCGCATTGCTTGTCGCCGCCGACTGGGACGTGCTGCACACTTGGCCAGCCCGGTTTTACTGGCGGCCCGCATCCATTATTGGGTCATCAAACATGACACCGTCCCTCTAGCAGTTCGCTCAAGTCTGCGCTACGCTCAACCATCCCCTCTGATGGGGTGACAGCTTTCACCACCGTCATCACCACCATCACTCACCTATACACTCGCTGTCTGCATTGTTGCGCCTCTACGCACGCAGAGGCAGCTCCGGCGTAGCTCTGGAAACGGCCCGTCAGCCTCGACGACACAGAACACCAAAACACCAAAACACCAAAACACCAGAACACAAACACGCCCGGATCCGCGCTCCGACAACCACTCCGTCCCCCGCGACGCCTGCCCGCAGCTCCAATGACACTGGGACTCGATGCCCGCTTCCCCCTGGCCCAGTGACCCTGACAATACGGCTGGACAGAAGAGAAATGGCACGCCGGGCAAGAAGATGGGCGCGACGGACAAACAAGCAGCCATGGACGGCAAGGACTTTGCCAAGGCCATTGGCATCAACAAGCCCGCCAACGTGCGCGACAAGATAAAGCGCTGGCAGCAGGACGTCGACCCCGACGCCGCGAGCAAAGACGACGCCGGCGCATCCGCTCCCGAGACTTCGACCAAGCCTGCAGCCTCGCCCAAGCCGCTGACGACGCCAAAGACGAAGCCCCACGACGACAAACCCAACTGGAAACCCGTGCACGAGCGAGGCGAGTCGGTCGGCGCCAGTCCAGAGCGCCCGGGCAGCGCAAAGAAGACGCCCGTTCCCCACAATGAACTCGACGAGGACCTGCTCACGGCAACAGCGCCCAAGAAGCGCGTCATCAGTGATTCGCACTGGCGCGCCAAACAATCACCACCAAAGGATGCCGCTGGTCGCCCCCTGCCCAAGACAATCCCAAACGCCTGGGTGCGCCCCTCACGCATCATCCCCAAGAAGCCCCCAAGCCCTGAGCTCAAGCCTTTGGCTCCCGTCACGCCTCAATCAAACCCTCTGCTGCCCTTTGCCGAGTACATAGGCAAGAGCACAGGACAGGTCAAAGCCCCGCCCAAGCCCCGCCGACCGTCCAAACCCTCGAGCTCAGAGAACGATCCTCGCCCGACGAGTAGCGGGGCAGGAAGCGGCAAGGGTGCCAAGAGTGCGAAGAGTGACGAAGCCCCGTCAGGTTCTACCTCGCCTCAGCCCGACAAGGACAAATCGGAGCTTGTGAGAATCAGGCGTAGCAGACGACGCGCGCGGACATCGCCACGCGCATCCATGTCGGCAGAGGATCTCATGCCCTTCACACCATGGACACGAGGAACAGGACGAAGATCCGGCTCAGTACAGAGTGACGACCCCCGCAATGTCGTCACAGTCGAGTACGCAGAGAGCTCAGCCCCGTCTATTAGCGAGAGCCGAATCACTTCGCCACGAGACGATGAATTGCGAGAGAGACGGCGCCGGCGCCGTCCGAGAAGCAACGGTGCTCGCACAGAAGACGAGAGCACCAAGCCGGCGCCAAAACCCTCACGGAAGAAGAGTCGCAGGTCCTACCCCAGGACCCAAGAGGAAGCTGCTACACCATTGATCATTCCAGCAGCCCAAGAGACGACCACTTCCACGAAACCACCGGGAAGCCGCTTAGAAGCCTGGCTCAGCAGCACGCCCGACCCCTTGGCAGAACCCAAGCCCCGACGCAGACGCAAGTCCAAGGAATCTATATCAAGTCCAGAATCCGCCTCCAAGGCCAGCAGATCCGAAGTCACACTATCCACCGACGTAACATCCGAGATTCCCGTCAAGAAGACGCGCTCGCGCCGCAGACGCAAGTCCAAGGAGTCTGTATCGTCTCTCGATCTGCCCGCTACGGTCGAAGGGTCAGAGGTTACTACCTCTACCAAGACAACACAAGATGAGCCTACCAAGAAGTCACCACGAAGGCGCCAGTCAAAAGAATCAGTCTCATCTCTCGACCTGCCTTATAAGGCTGAGCAATCAGAAGTCAGTGCGTCCACTGAGACGACACGGGACGAACCTGTCGAGAAGCTCCGCCGTCGCAGTAGTGGTAGTGGTGGCGGTGGTAGCAGAAGGCGTAGAAGACGTTCGAGCCGCGAGATGACCATCAACACCCAAAATCTTGATGAGGCTCCGTCTACTGTCGTTTCAGATGCCACGACCGAGACGACAGCCCAGGACCAGGAGAGTGAAGTATCCGTCACCCCAACGCCCTCACTCAAGCGCCGTGGCGCAAAGCGCGGCCAGTATTCTCCCACCAAGGGACGATCCATGTCCTCTCCTCTCCGTGAATCTACCTCGATCGATGATATACCCAAGGATGACGTTACTGATCTGGACGCTGCTTCCTCCGCGCCTTCTTCATCTGTCGATATGCCTGTGCCTGATGCCATGCCTATGCCTTTGCGACCACGACAAATTCTAGGTCCACGTATGTTCCCTTCGACTGGCAAGCGCCTTTCAACTATCGCTTCGTCACGGTCAGCGCACTCATCGCAAGCGCCAGCTTCTGATACCATTACAACCATCTCTGAGGAAGCAAGCACCGTTCCCGGAGCACCTGCATCAGAAGTAGGCTCGTACTTGAACCCGGAAACCTCGACTATTATTAGCCGCCAGAGTACCCGCCGCAGGAAGCTTGCCAGCCATGCGGATCTCATATCCGTACTTTCCATGCCCAAGGCAAGCTCAAAGTCCAAGAGCATCGTCTCTGCCCGGAGTATTCGTACCAACAGGAGTCGCCTGGCCACTGCCACTATAGACGACATAATGAAGGAGCTTACTGCTGATGAAGAGAAATATATGCGGGAGCTCCGCACCTTAGTCGATGGTGTTATTCCTGTCCTTCTCAGCTGCGTCCTTTCCAAGTCCGAATCCGCCATCGCAGCTGGCCTGTTCTCTCGCTCTTCCAAGTCAGATCCAAGTGAGGTAACCAAGCCAATCGTTGACATGGGTGTCTGTCTAGAGCGACTCAAGAACTTGCACAAGCGCGTTCCCAAGGAAGACTCCGATGCGCTTGTCTCCTGGGCTCAGAGCGCGCAGCGGGTGTACTCCGACTATATCTCCGCGTGGCGCCTTGGCTTCCAAGACGTTGTAATCAGTCTTGCACCAGCAGATGACGATCCTTTCAAGCCCGCGAAGGTCGTCAATGGACCAGAAGACGGCGCGCCATGGGACGAAGGCATGCCGCGAAACGCTGAAGGATACGTGATCAACAGCGACGGCGAGCGTGTCGACGTCGCCTATATGCTCAAGCGCCCGCTAGTGCGACTAAAGTATCTCTCCAAGAGTTTGAAGGTATGTAGAGGTAACCTGTCCATGTTAATGCAATGCTAACATCAACCAAGGGTATCAACCACTTGAAACCCTCCGACCGAGTAGAGCAAATCTCAAAGATCTTCCAGGATCTAGTTACGGCAGCACGCAAGCGTTCGAATGACGAACAAGCCCGCCTCGAAGACGAGGCTGCGGCTAGCGTTGATCCCACTCGCGCCCGTGATCCCCGAAGCCTCGCCCCCCTTGCGGGCGTCCGGGTTGATTCCACGCGTTGCGTGCGAGCCAGAGATCATTTCGATCTCCACCTGTTCCACTCGAGTGGTCAGGAAATGAGTTGTCGCGTTGAGCTCCTGCTCCGTGATAATGCACCAGGCACAGGAGTCGGAGGTGACATACTGTTCTGCGAAGTGGACCCGACAGGACGTTGGTTACTCCTACCACCTGTCCAGCTCAGTAACGCCTCCGCACGAAATGGCGATCTGCAAGGCGAAATAATCGTCATGATTCGTGGGAAACAAAATGACGGATCAGAATGGAGTGAAGTCATGTCCTTGATATCCGAGGATGAACAGGCTGGTTTCGAGTGGGTGCAAATGCTCGGTCTCAATCCCATCCCACCTCCAATCGAAGAAGTAAGGAAAAATCAGGCTACATCCAACAATGCGCAAAGGCCTGCCAGCAGCCACGGATCGTCTTCCCTCCTCTCAGCCGCAACCCAATCTACACTTCCACAGAAGAGCAGGACACCAAGCCCACATGAGATTGACATCCCTATTGGCGAGCAACATACTGAAGTATCAAAAGTATGGCACTACGACACTCCCGATAGGCGTAACCAGTCTCGTACCATATCGCCTATCACTCCACCCAGTGGTGATGGCTCTCATATCAACGCATATGATTCAGAGCCCCATACGCCCATAGATGCTATGCAGACCGCCTATCAGCTCCTCAACGATCCTGACAGGACGCCTCGCGGTCTTGATGAGGCAGTACGAGCGGAAGGCACCGGGTCACCTTCGAGCTTGAAACGAACAAGGGCGAAGAGATTATCTAAGAACCCCACTCTTTCCCCACACTCAGCACGGCCGTCTCGCCAGATCACGCTCGAAGATCCGGCAGATCCAGAGAAGACTAAATCGCCGGTCCAAGAGACTAAACCACGTCGGAAGTCTACTAAGAAGCGTCCCCAAAAGAGCTACAGTGTCTGGATGCCATCCTCTCAAGTAGATGATTCCGACGAGTCCGACGAATCTTACAGTTCTGAAGAAGACAAGAGCACTGTCAAAGACTCAGAGATCTCACCACCTGGCTCGCCTCCCTCTCCACAGCGTCCACAAGCACATAGACGAGTGTCCTCCGTTCCCTCGCTGGAATTACCGAGCATCCCAAGACAAAGGAAGTCAAGCCGTCCATCAACACCAACACAAGATGCAGGAGATGAAGAAGACAGTGTTCGGGAGTCTTCAGCCTCTGCACCATCGAAGATGCATGGAAAGAGCCACGATATAATTGTCGAAGATATTGTAGAGCCCAAAACAGAGGTCGAGGAGCCACCGCCAACACCACCACACCGATCTTCTAGTCCCGCAACCCCTGTAACCCTAAAGGGAACCAAAACGCCAGTATTCACCCCAACACTGCCTGGCTTCAAGAACAAGAGGCGATCATCATCACCTTTGAAGCATGAGTATGAGCCTTCTACCTGCACAGAGGAGTCAAGCGAAAGTGAGGAAGAATCTCCCTCTGAGGATGAGGTGGGCGAGGAAGACGAAGAAAGCCTGACCTCGGAGTCGTCAGAAGATGAACTGGATGACGACGTTCCCATGCCGCTCATGCCAATCGGATACCTTGGGCCACGCGGATACCCTGGGCGTACATACACCACTGGCAGAGAAACTAGCCGTCCTGCCCCCGCGGAGAAGGTAGAGAAAACCGAGAAGGTTGAAGATGAGACTAAAAAGTTCCCCAAAGTCTCACCTCCCGCATCAATTTACACTCTTCCCAATGGCACTATCACCCCATCGCAATCCGCGTCGAACACGCCATACAGAGCTGTTCCGCAAGGTTCCGGCAAGGCTTCAAAGACCATCGCATCTATCTTCGCCTGGTCTGATAATGGCCGATGGGATAGTTTGCATCCAGACGAATGTAGCATCGTCATTACGCCAGGCAAGATCGAGGTCTACGAGATCTCGATCAACCATTCTAAGCCTTTCCTGGCCGACGGCGACGAGATCATCACTCCCGAGGGAGGTGCTCCCCTAATTGCGGTTGAGCTTACCCCTCTGGTGCCGTTGCGCAAATCGACGGCCATTGATATCTCCATTCGCTCCCCACCTACCGCAGAGTCGCGCATTAAAGCTGGCAACAACATCATGTTGAGAAGTCGCAACGCAGCTGAGTGCTCGCAACTATATGCCATGATCAACCAATCCCGCATCAACAACCCGACCTACATAGCTCTTCAGAACGCCCGCGGCCCTTACGGACAATCGAGCTGGGCCGAGGCAATGGACCGCCAGAACGCAGCTAGGACAAGCGCTGAGTCTTCTGGTTGGCTGGGTGGCACGTTAGGAAGGAGAAGCAGCTACCGCAAGTCAAGCACACGCGCTGCTTCCATCTCTGCAGCCACTGAATCGTCCGTTGGCACTATGAATTCTGCCCTCCGCTCGGCATTGGGTCGCTTTTCGTTCGGCAAGAGCGGTGTCTTCAGCATCCGCAACTCGACGCTCGGATCGCGTAGTACAGGTTCCTCGTTCGATAACGGCTCCAATTCTCGACCTGGCTCGGGCGCAACTACACCTACAGGCGATGGAATGCGAGCGCCTGGTGCACCAGCTGGCATTACAAACACCAAGTGCAGGCTTTACGAGCGAGAATCACTTAAGAAATGGCGCGACATGGGCAGCGCACGGCTAACAATCATGCTGCCCTCACCTAACCCAAGCGAGCCATCGTCACCCATTAACCCACGACAGCGCGCACCTGGCACAAGAGACCACACACAGGAGCGACGCATTTTGCTCACTGGCAAGAAACATGGCGAGACACTGCTTGACGTCACCTTGTCCGAGACATGCTTTGAGCGTGTCGCACGAAGTGGTATCGCTGTTAGCGTATGGGAAGACCATATGAATGAAGACGGTGAGGTGGGTGGTGTAGGCAAGACTGGTGGTGTCTTGGGTGCAAGAGCAAGAGTTTTCATGATACAAATGAAGAGTGAGAGGGAGTGCGCATACTGCTTCAGTCTTCTTGGTAAGCTGAGGTACTAAGCCACAAACATGAGAGGGAGAGAGGGAGGACTGCACCAACAGAATGCAGCAACACACAACACGCATCCGTTATCTCGTCACTGCTATCGATTTTGTGCTTCTGTACTGCGAGCAAGCGTGGCGTTCTTTTTCACGATTTACAACGGGTGGTACTTCAAGAGGGCTTTCTGTGATACCAACTTCCCTATACAACTTTCGCTTTGTAATACTGCTTCATGTTCGTTACTTTCCTTGTCCATACTGGTTTTCTTATGCATATGGATGGAGTGTTTTCTTGTCTTTGGGGAATATACACGTGTCTTTTGCGTTTGATACCAGGTGTGTATGTTTGAAATCCTTTGGTTTTTCTGAGTGTGGGAGGTATATAGGATCAAGGCCGCGTTGGGCGGAATGGGGTGTATAGATTAATGGACAGATGTGTTGTCGAGGCTTTGTGTTTTCTTGACTGTGAAGTAGATAGATGAGGTTGATGACTACGGCGGCTATACCATGACAAATTCTAATGCCCTCTTCTTCAGCCTAGCAGCACGCGGCGGAGACCAACGAGAAGAGAATGTGGCAGGTCCTAGTTCAACATGTATCACCTCACTCGCTTCATCTACTCAAGATCTTTATCCTTGCATCCTTCTGGTGCAGTCACAGGGTTACACCTTGCAGCTAATCTTCCAGGAAGTCTGGCCACATAGTCCCAGCCCCATCGACTGCTCATGCCCCACGCTGGGAAATCGGTGCTGACGATCTGCGCACCGCTCTCGAAAGCACTTTCCCGCATCTCCGTAGTGCGGTTCAGGATAGTATCGAGAGGCACGTCAGCACGAGTTCGGATCAGGTATCCCTTCTTCACAAGACGCTGAATCTCAGCGGTGTCATTGCCGCGCGGTTCGTTGTGCTTGATGAATGCAGCATCGGGTGAGCCTTCGAGTGCGTTGGTGAAGACGGTACGGTTCTGAAGTGATGGTGCACCAGCAAGGTAGAGCTCACGAGGCGAATTGGGATCAGTTGGCTTCGGATCGTTGTCGAAGAAGAACATCAGCCGACCGCGCACGTCCTTTAGCTTTGGCCACCCATGCTGCAAGACAGACTGTTCGAGGGTGAGGCCATTCTTACGCACATCGTCGGGGCGGATGAGCTGTTCCTTGGGGAAAACAGAGAGAATTTCCGCGTCGACGTTCAAGAGGCGTGGAAGCGTCCAGTTTGTCGCTTCACCAGGGCAGACACCGCCTAGCTGACATGCTGGCGCATCTGTCTTTAGCTCTAAGTCGATAGTAATGGGTACGTGTCTGGGATTCGCATCCGACCAGCTCTTCAACTGCTTAAGGCAGTCAATGAAGGTGTGGCAGACAGAGTCAGGGTCAAAATCTGTGACGTGGAAAACCTGCAGATTCAAAAATACCAAGTCAGTGTACGTCTCACATGCATTTCGTACGGACACAACTTGCCTTGATGCCCGGCCTCTTCAACACATTCCCGTCGTAAGGTGTGCTTGTGTTGGTCAAGTTTGAAAGAGTCCATATTACGGGAGGATAGTATAGACCGCCCTTCTCATCCGAGTGCAGGTCGAGTTCGAAAGAGCGTACGGATTGGTACTCCAATTGATTGTCGAGCTCCGCGTGGGAATAGTAGTAGTCTTCTGGGGACGGAACATACTTCTCGAACACAGGTCGCTCGGCAAGTGAGACCTCACGATGGTAGGAGTTGTGTGTTCCGATAACCTGGATGTGGTTGAAGCGAATATCGGACTTTGAAGCCAATGCGCTTTCTGAATGTAATCAGCTTTGAGAAGCTTCTAGTAAGTAGTAAACATACGAGCGAAGAGCATGATGCTCGCGGAAGTCTGTTCTTGTCAGCAGTTGCTCGTTTCGTATCTTCGTCCTTGATGCATACCAAAGGGCCCATCATATTGCTCGTTCCTTTGTAAGCAAAATCCGTATACAAGATGAAGACACTCAAAATACACATAAAGGCTGCGAGTAGCAAGGCTCGGCATTTATACGCCATCCTACCCATGCTGTTCAGCATGCGATGCCTTGCACTAGAGCTCAGACGTTGAAGTCTTTCCCGCCATGCATCCGATTCACGCTAGCCCGTCGCGTGCGCTCACAATAGCTCACAATTGGTTAATCGTGCCACGTGGGATGAGTGTACACGCTTCGAAAGTTCTCAATTTAGAAGGTGCAGAAATCACCGAATGGTAGTGCCGGATACGCAACGCTTTCATGTTTGTGCACCGTTTCGATGGAGGGTGATTTTAGAACGAATAAGCGGTAGTTTGATGGCGGAAGCGATGATGGCGATGGAGCTGTTAGGAAAAAAGCGGGGTAACACCCTGTAAAGAAAGGAGCTACCACATGTCTTGGATTGTCAACAGCACCCGAAGAGGAACAGTGCAGAGTAGTCGAATAACAGAATCAATGGGCACTAAAATCTGTGTTCCGAATTGAACTCTACAATTGGTCGTACCGGGATATACTGGCTGCCACTACCAATGATGCTTTTGTCCATATTTGGCAATGAAGCCACCCACTTCAGCATCTCTTTCACCCTGCACGATTTCCAATAGCCCCTTTGCGCTTGTCTCTGAGCTTTCGACGCCGTTCTCTACTCTCTGTTCTCTGTCGCCACCCAGATCCGTTACTACAAAGCCAGGACAGTAGGTCCAGACTTTGAAGCCGTCCGGCTTGAGCTGATAGTACTGGTATGCTGTCAACATATTCAGTGCAGCTTTGCTCATGCGATATCCAGGATATTTCACACCAGAGTAAGAGCCGCTGTGGTCTGAGATTGCGCCAATGCTGCCGAGGCTGGAGCTTACGTTAATGATGCGTGGATTGGATGAATGCTTCATTAGGGGAATGAAAGCCTGGGTAATAAGTGTTGCGCCAAACACGTTGGTCTCGAAGATCGTGCGCATCAGCTCTCGGTTGGGCCATGTTCCATCTCTTTCTGGGCAAACACCAGCATTGTTGATAAGGACGTCAAGATGTCCGAAATTCTGCTCGACTTTCTTGGCTGCCGCTTCAATGGAAGTGTCGTCGTTGGCGTCAAGTTGTACCAGAGAGAGGGTGCCTTGGATGTCCGGTTTGGCTTGCAGTTCTTTCAAAACGGTCCCACCCTTCGAAAGGTTGCGTGCACCGATGATGACATGATAGTTTGGGGAGGCGGACGCAATATAAATCGCCGTGTCCAGGCCAATGCCATTCGTTGCGCCTACACAAGTAATTGAGATGAGGAGCTTAGTGTATATTTTTTGGAGAGCCTGTTACCTGTAATGAGCACGACCTCTTTCTCCGAGTAAGGTGCCATGTTTTACTGGAGCTTATGAAGCGTTTTAGGATGGGTATCGAGATGTTTGATATGAATTGAAGTGGAACAAATGGATTCTGGTGATGCTCAAGTTGACGTCGAACAGTGGCAAATATATATCCTGCCAACAACGCAACACCGGATGAATAAATTCCTCAGGCGTCCAGCGGGTAAAGTTGTGGATGGATTGAGTATAGTTGAGGATGTGGTGATTAGCAAATGGGGAATTGTACGAGGAGTAACGCCGTTCATCGCCAGGGAGTTTGCAGGTATATTCGGGTTTAACTGACTAAATCCGACTCGTTGGTCATGAAGTCATTCGGAACGCCCTGCCAAGACCTAATGTCGCTGTTAGACGTTCAAGATTGCTTTGTTACGACGATTCGAATGATAACATGGTAGATGTGGACTCATGACGGCGACAGGGCTTGGACAGAGGTGGTAATGGCAGCAGTAGCGATCGTGGGTGGATGAAGACGCGTGGGGTAAGAAACCTTGACATTAGCGCGGCGCGACACGACGTCATGCCGGTCCAGCCCACCAAGCGTCTCTATGCGCCTACTAAGAAGAAAGTCGATGTTCTTTCTGTAGTCAGTCAATCCTTGAAGCGCATAGCGCCGCTGATAAGATGCCATCCCTGGTCCGCAAGCTGCTCATCTTCGCTGCCGTCGACGGGCTCGTCCTCCAGCCGTCTCCGCCCCGCAACCATCCGCCGGCGACGCAGCAGGCCATCAAGGTCGACTACAAGGGCAACGTCGGTCCCCTGTTGAAGGACAGGCGCGAAGAAGACACTGCGCCTGTGTCTGTGGAGGCGCAAGGCATCATCGGTATGCGCGCGCTCACCTGCGCATTGCGACGTGCAGTGCATAGCTGACCACGCCACCAGGACTGCTCAAAGTCGCTACTTCCTACTTTCTGATATCGATATCCGACCGTGAACAAGTAGCCCTCATACGCGGCAAGCCCATCTACAGGATCACCAATGTCGCCCTCATCCCGCTCTCCTCACAAGCCGACGCCGACAAGGCCATTGTAGCCACGCGGGACCACTTGAAGCGTCGCAACCGCGCACCAGGGCTCGATGACGAGGATACAGATAGCGAGAGCGAAGATGGCGCGCCCAGTGTAACCGACTCAATCGTAGAAGATTCCTCATCTGCACCCAGCGAGGTGAAGGACACTGTCACCGGGCAAAAAGGGACGGCGGCCCACAAGACAAGTGTGGCCGAAGATGTCATACAACGAAAAGGTGTATACGGCAGGTTCGCTGACAAGTGGTTCTCGCGCAAGGGCTGGAGCGCTGACAACAGGCGTCTGCAAGGGCTGAGCTCCGAGGAGAACCTGGCCGCGAAGAATGTGCCGCAGAATGTTGACTCAGGAATGCCCAAAGAGGAAGAGCAGCCCAAGACCGAGTCGAAGCCAGATGCGATATCAACATCTGACAAGGACATTTCGGAACCAGTCAGTCCAGAGGCGATACCCAAGGCTCTGAGCGGCGAGAAGGACGCTGCGACTGTAGCCCTCCTACCCAAGATCCTACAGACCACCAAAATGTACTTTTCATCGGGTAACTTCTTCTTCTCCTACGACTATGACATCTCACACGGCATCGGCCAGCAGCAATCCAGTTCCAGTGTGGCGCTATTCAAGCAGTTCGATCCTTTGTTCTTCTGGAACCAGCACATCATCTCGCCCTTCATCGATGCTGGTCAACATTCTTTCGTGCTCCCTGTAATGCAAGGCTTTGTTGGCCAGAGACCATTTACTATCAAGACGGCGGATGGCCAGTCGAGCAGCCTTGTAGTCGATCCGAGTGCTACCCCCGACGACATTCAGCTGCAGTCCTGGCATGAGAAGCAAAAAGAGGAGTCGCAATCCACTACAGAAGCCAGTAACGAAGCACCTGCTCCTGAAGCTTCACTTGCAGACGGTAAAGACTTTTTGTTGACACTCATCTCGCGACGTTCTGTCAAGCGGGCTGGTCTTCGTTATCTGCGACGAGGAACAGACGACGAAGGATGCACTGCGAACAGTGTAGAAACGGAACAGATCCTGTCCGTACCAACCTTCAGCACGACGCAAGACAAGATCTTCTCCTTTACCCAAATTCGCGGTTCAATACCCCTGTTCTTCTCTCAATCACCCTACAGCCTCAAGCCTCAAGTCTCTACTTGGGGATCTTTTGAAACAAACGCTCAAGCTTTCAAGAAGCATTTCCTCGATCTGTCTTCGCGCTACGGTGATATTTACTGTGACTCGCTTATCGACAAGCACGGTACGGAGGCAAAGATTGGCGAACTTTACGAACAGCATGCCAAAGCGCTCAATGAGAACGGCGGGATCGATGGCAAGGGCAAGCAACTGGGCTTCGAATGGTTCGACTTCCACAACGTGTGCCGTGGCATGCGCTTTGAAAACGTCTCAAAACTGATGGACTCCATCGAACCCTTCATGACATCTTCTGGCTGGGTGGAAATCTCAGATGATCAAGTCCAACGGAAGCAGGCCGGTGTCTTGCGCACAAATTGTATGGATTGTCTGGACCGCACCAACGTCGTCCAATCTGCGTGTGCTAGAACTGCTCTTGAATCCCAGTTATCGATGGGTAGCTACAACATTGACCTTCAGAACGACCCTAGCACTTCGTGGTTCAACACTCTCTGGGCTGACAACGGCGACGCAATCTCTCGGCAGTATGCTGGCACCGCTGCGCTGAAAGGAGATTTTACGCGCACCCGAAAACGACAAATCACCGGTGCGCTTACCGATTTTGGGCTGACACTCACGAGATATTACAACAACATTGTAAATGACTACTTCGCTCAAGCCGTCATTGACTATCTCCTCGGTCGCGCTACCGATACCATATTTGCAGAGTTTGAAGCAGATATGAAGAGCTCGGATTATTTCATTGATGTGCGCAAGGTACGGCAACAAGCCATCGAACGTTCTGCTGGTATTGTAATCGAGGATCGTGATGAGGACCTGGTACACGGCTGGACCTTGAGCGTACCCACCGCTGTTAACCAAGTCAAGACTGCCACGTTTGAGGAAGCCGTTCTCCTCCTGACGGAGAAGGCCCTGTACTTCTGCCGTCTCGACTGGGGTACCGAAAAGGTACGCGAGTTTGAACGCATTCCACTTGAGAATGTGCAGGGTCTCATGCGCGGCGTTTACATTACGTCTACATTAGCGCAACGACACACGGATGCAGACAAGAATGTTGGCCTCATCATACGGTACCGAGCCGCCACCCAAGGCGAGCTAGTACGACGAAACACAAGGGCCTTAGATTCAGGGGCCGCCAACGACGAGCAGCGCAAGGATGACGCTAAGAAGGACCAGAAGCAGGATTCTGCGGGCCGCTTCCTAGCGTTCAAGGCGTTACCACCGAGAAGTAGTGTTCCGTCATCTCCTGGCGACACTCCAGAGAATGAGGGCGAGGTGGTGAAGTCAGTATGCGATGAAATCGTGAGAATCGCCAACGATATGAAGAAAGGAGGAAGGGACGAAGACAGAACATTGGAGGTAGAAGAGAAGGACATCATCAACCTTACGGATGCGAGAAAGACTACAGGCTACCTCGAACAGTTTGAGTATTCCTTGAAGAAGCTTGTTTGGGGCTAAGCTCTGGACGTTCTCGGTCGTGCCATGTTATTCCTCGCTGTACTCTATTTGGCGCACAGTACATACTCGCTTGGCAGAGAAGTCCGCGTCATGTAGTTATGTCAAGCCATTGTTTTTTGTTCTACTGTTCCATTCACAACGTTCTCGAACGTTGTGGTCTCCGGGTATAGCAAATCCTCTCGAAGATAATTTCTTGACTCGCGATGTATTGACCATAGTATCAGTCCATGGGTATCTCCACTTCCCGACATCCTCGAGCAGTCACATGTAGTGCAGGAAGAGCGTTGCATCCAGCACGGCGGATCCACGGCGCTTCCGACAACCGGTTACTCAGGTGCGTGTGGGACGATGCGGGTGGCTACTGGCTAGTTGGCGAGCATACGAAGGCCGCATCGGGAAATGCATCCGCTTTGCTTGTGTGGTACTGCGCGTCAACAGTGAGAAGAATGGAGTACTAAAGACTTCGGGGCGCTGTTGGTGGGTGTTCGACGATGTCGCGTTGTGACCAACGAGCTGAGAAAGTAGCGACCCCGCGAACTGCTATTGCCCCATCATCTTCTCCGCGTTCAACTTCTCCTCACTCCCACCTCTCTTCAACGGACGCGACAACCCCACTCTTCAGCGCGATTAAGCGTTAAGGCCGTTGGGTCTTGCTTTCCGTGTCGGCGGAGCCGCGCCGCATTGTAATTCGATGCAACATGTCACGCTAGAACCTCGGCACATGCAGCGCTGGGCACACCACGATACACTGCATCGGTCCAATCGCCCCGTAGCGACGGTCACGCCCCACCTAGAGCCTCAATTCGCTTGGATCGAGGATACCGCGGCATCGTGATGTGCTAATAGCACACAAAAGCTTGGATCCGCTGAGGGGTCGAGGAACGCCTTACCACGGGCTAGCATGCCACACCTTCTCAGACGACTTGTTGAAGCTTAACGGTCACAGGCTTGCTCGGCACTCGGCATCCAGCTTAAGCTTTTGACTCGACGGGAGGCGCAAACCTCGTCTATGCTAGCGTCAGCAGGTCGCATTGAGAAAAGCGGGTCGACGTCAGCGGCTTGGAAGGTGAGTGGCCGCAGGCCGTTCTCAATCGCGGTGCGTGACGTCAATAGTGGAAACCTCACACCGTGCTCATTTGAGCGCGAATTGCACAGTCCAAAAGGGCCCACCAAATGAGAAAATTTCTTCTTCATGGGGTGCCCTTGGGGTGCGAGATTGGGGGTAGAAGTGTGGGTGTCTGGAGTCTGGAGGAAAAATGGAGCGAGTTGTTGTGCGGAGTGCGGAGTGTCACGCCTCAGGTTCGACGCGATCTGAGATGGTGGTCGCCCATCAGCATTAGCTGTGGTACGACCAACCCACGAGCGGCAACTCA